AAAAAAAGAGTCCTTACCTGAGTGACTTACTTTATTGTTCAACGATACATGTATATGAGTATTGGTATAAAATAGCAGACGTACTTACTGGTAAAGAAAAAACACGGTATCGGAGTGTTGCTTCAACACATTTTCATCCGATATTAGGCAAATTCTCATTCAGTTAATCATTCATGCGGGTAGAATTTGTTTAAATTATAATAGATGAAACGTCGAAATACGTTTGAGATACTGTTAACAAATGTGTGTATTTTGATATGAAAACTATAATAAGGCCTAATAAATGAATCTTTATGTTTCTTATATAGATGCGGGTACAGCCTCTTCACAATAACAAGAACTTACAAACAATAAAAACACTTACGTTAGGCATACAAGGTAAAACTACATTGTACATGCATTATGAACTTAGCAGGTTATTTGATCCACAATTAATCAACTTTAATGAAAAACATTGTATCATGCCGTCACAATTATTTTTCAGGAAAGCTACGTCAGAAATGGAAAAGCCACCTCCCTCCGGGAAGCCTGTTAAAAGGTATATTTGCTTGTCTTAGTAATAAAGCAGTAATGTAATATTTTGATATTCTAAATCAATTAATACACCGAGACATTTCGCTTGCGATACATTGTGTAAATCTTTTAAAATAACTGGGGAATATCATAAAAAAAATTGCAGCTCAACAATGGAAACATAATGATATCAAAACTTTGATATCACTTGAGAAATGAATATTGGAGCTGTTTTTATGAACATTTATTATTTATTTACTGATGTAGTTTGATGAAGAATATGGACACATTGTATGGTTGAAAATATAGGGATATACTCTTTTAAACTAGAGATATGAAGGTCGATGCATTTTATTATGCTTACTAGTGCACTCTCTACCTTGTTCTCAATTTGAATATGTTGATTTTAATTTTACCTAGATGTATATAGCAGGAGTTGTTGTGGAGTATCCGGAGAAACCCTGGTCTTATACTCCTTGTTTTTCCCTATGGTCTCGTGTACATATTTCATTTGTGTTTATTGTGACCTACTTACATCGATTTTGAGTTTGCATAAGTATTTTGTTCGTTCACACACCAGTATTCGCATTTCCCTTATTTTTTTAGAGAGTGGGGAGACGGAATTGGGTAAAATTATTTTGATATCGTCAATTCATGTGATTTCGATGAAACAAATTTAATATGCTACAAAATTGTATGAGAATTACTAAGTTATAATGTTTATCAACATCAATCCTAACTTTGTAACATCATATATATTCCCTGAAAGATAAAGTTATGGTGGCAAAAATGGTATAAACGCGAACAAAACTCTTGCAATGCAAAAACATAAAAAATGTCTTTTGTAGACCATTTCCTAAATTTGACTTCATCCGTACCGCAAACCATACATGTAGACTCAATTAATTAAATTTGCGCTTGAGAAGATGTAGTTTCAATGTTGGTAGCAATTATCAATGGTATATTGATATTCAAAGACAAAATCGCTAATATTGATATGAAGTATTTCAACCAAAATAATAACACCAACATTTATATCGTGGAAGAATTGTTCGTTCCGGATGGCCTGTTATCACGAATCTCTCAGTTGCTTGTACGTTAAATGTGCATGCAAGGCTATCATCACCGGATTTGTGCATGTGTGATATTTGTTTAATAACTCAATATCACAAACTGTTGGATTCAACAACAAAGCGTGTTTTTTTTGTATTCTGATTAGTCAATATTACAATAAAATAGACAATAGACAGGAATGCCTAGCATAAAAATCTAGAATCAATACAAAGAGAGGTAACTCTTGAATGTATATGTACATATACAACAATTAATATTTACATTTGCTCTGCGTCCTTCCATTGCATTGCATTGAGAAGGCAAATGTTGTTGTGAGACTGTAACAACATTTGCTATTGTAACAACTTCAATCTCAACATTTCTATTGTTGACAAACTAACATAAAAAGAGCCCTGTGGGGCTTTATTCAGTTTGTCATTAATAGTAATGTGTGTTATAGGACCATAACAACATTAGATAAACATTCGTTGCTTAAATATCAGAAACTCTATTTCGATTTAATAAGATGTTACTATGCACATACTTTGGTATGTAAAATATGATATTATGCTGACCTGATATATTTAAACTTGTTCTGTGTTTTAAAAGATCTATTCTCTTAACATAACTTCAGAATGTCCTGAATGTGATTTATCTTATTTTGACGACAAAGCGATTATCCTGATACAGGGAAGGTGGGAGACAATTCGAAAGTGAAAGTACAAATTTATGTATATTGGAATAATATTGTAATAATAAAACAATACCATATAGATCACTGAAATTATCGATATAATTCGGTGGTACCTAATATTAACATAACTCATTTTGTCTGTACTTAACTGTATATCTTTCATAATGAGGACAACTGATGGAACATTATTAGTTGGCAACACGGCGGGTATCATCGATGAAGTAGAAGACAATTTCCTATTATTATTCTTTTTCTACACATTTCTTGTTCATATATTTGTTTGGTTTTCAGCATCGAGGTATTCCATGTTTCAAAAGGTCTTACTAGTACTTATTTAATTCACAAAGGGCTTGCCTCTGCTTGGTGAACTGTAAGTCCCCGAGGTTTCAATTACATTGTAGCAGGATATCTTTTTTTGCACGGAAAACATACAATACTCCTACGCGAATAAGTTATCTGCAGCGGCCAAAAAGCAATGTAAATTTGCAACGTGTTTGTAAGGATATTTTTGGCACGTTCCCCCTCCTTTTTTTCATTTTCTACGTACATTCATGTTTCAAAACAAATATAAAAAAAGATACTGAAATGTAAGCATAACCTTAATTAAATCTCAACATCGTTAAAAGTAGGGCAAAATATGACCAAAGCAAGGATTTACATTGAGACCATTGATTAAGAACAAGGAGAATATAACCATGTGTTCCAGAAGTGTAACCGCCTTCTCGTTCATCTGCTTTAAGTCCTTCATGGAAATATGGACATATGGTGCACTGACATTCTTACCTTTTGTTCTGCTGAAGGTAAAAATAAATAGTGCTGGACTATAACCGATGCATGTAATAAGTTGTATTATATTTTAAATCGTGCAAATTTAAGTCCTTTTTTCTGCTCGATTTCCTAGCAAACGTGTGGATGACGGTGAGTCGGATAGCTACTCTGACGAATCCGAAGATAAAATCGAGTCTAAAGATGACATCGAACCAGTTGCAAAGCCAGAAATTAAGGTACAATTGACTAAGCATGTGTTGTAAGTAGACGGTCGCTTAAAACAGAGAGGAAAAAGAGACAGAGACATAGGAAGAGACAGACACAGAGAGACAGAGACAGACACAGACACAGAGAGACAGTACACATGACACTGATATGTGATGTACTCCATGAGACAACTATCACGCTGATTGTTCCCTTCTCTTTAAGATTAACACTGTATACACTGTGTTGCCATTTGTCTTCATTTTAGTCAGTTATACTGATAGATAAAGTAATATATAAATATTGAACGATCGGAATAAGGCAATTAAGAATGTACGGGTCCCAACACAATTTGATCGTCAATTTTTATTTAAACATAGTTTATTGAAAAAAAACCAGGAGGAAATAGTCAAATCGAAAGAATGATATTCAAACCATTAAAGAGATTCTCTATGGGTGGACAAAAAATATTTGTTATATTTCAAACTTTTTTCTAAATCATGTGATGTAATACAGCTCTTTGAAAACTTTTTTTAATATTTCCTTCACCTTTCTTGCTCAGATATTTCCAGGCTTTCAGCCTAACGACGTAACACTGGTAGTCGAGGAAAAACATCTTCATTTAAATAAAGATGTACTCTCATCAGCTTCACCTGTTTTTGAGGCTTGGCTTAAAAAAGAATGGCAACAAGACGAATGCAGTGACGATACAAAAAGGGAGCTGGAGACCCTGGTAAAACATATGATGAGATGGCCACATTTCTCAAATGTCTTCTGCCCATATTTCCTGACAAAGTTACAGGTAATGATGGAACATGTATCTATCTCATTGCTTAACAAAAATAGGTAGGTTTTTGTTAACAGGTTATGTTGTTTCTGTCGACCAGGCTGATAGCTCGTTGCGAAAACCGTCGACCAGATTTGCAGACTTGAATCGTCTGGAGCTAGCTTGATCAACCTTTGGTCCCCTTTTGCTAACACAATACTATCGATACGCGACAAATCGATTATATGCATTGATATAATAGGATGCTTCATCAAGCTTTGTTACGTAACCATGAGTATATTTGACATGTTTGTCAGATTACGCTAAGCTTAAAGCCTAATCTCCTCAATTTGGGTTTTCAAGTGTTACACTCTGTCAATAAAGTAATGAAGGAAATACTATTTTATACATAACATATTTACATGCCAGACACAGTTGTCTGTGCTTGAGGATCCCTGTCCCACTGCAGTTACCTTTATAGTTACCTCCCCTTAACTTCCGTTTGGATATAACTGTAACAGTTTAGCTAGGCCACTCTTGTTAACCAGGTCATGTCTAGCTCAATCAATAAGAGCGACTGTATAAGAATCTGAAGTCCGGGTTTTGAATCAAAGTCATGACACGCTGTTGCTGATTTATTTAAATATATATTTTGTTTAAATCTCTTATTTCTAATAAGAGTTCCACAAATTAAGGTATAACTTTTCAGAAATGACTTATCAAAGCCAAAGTCATGCTCGAATAAACAGTTTCTAATACTGAATTACAGGTTTTGGCAGTTGTACGGGGCTCTTTAATACACGAATACCCATTACTGGGGTAAAGGAAATCCTAAAATGGATCCTGTCTTAACCGTTAAGAATGTTATTTGTTTGGTTTGGTTTGTTTGTGTTTAACGTCCAATTAATAGCCCATTTAAGGACGTATCAGGTTTTGGTGTTGGAGGAAAGCCGGTGTTCACGGAGAAAAACCACCGACGTACCGCCAGTACCTGGCTACTGCACCACGTAGGTCACGAACCCGCGACCCAGAGGTGAAGGGCTAGTGGTAGCAGTTTATCAGACGCCTTAACCACTTGGTATCCGTGTCTCCTAAAAATGTTTCTGTCTCCCATGTTACACACACGAAACATGTAAATATCACTTTTCGTATTCACAGATGAAACAATCGATACAGTGCTCCCCTTAGCAGATGAGTATCAGACAGAAAATTTGATCACAGAATGTGTTGATGTCATCCGACAACGCGTGGAGTCTGTCTACGAGGTAGATATATACATACCGCCATCTCGAATTGTCACCTACCTACTCTGGATTGACAAGTACAACCTTCATACATTGAGAAAAGCGCTTGTGGAACTAACTTCGTACATGAACATCGAAGAAGTAGAAAACGAACCAGTCTACGAAAATTTCGGGCTTCAACTAAAGCTGGAGATGTCTAATGCTAGAGCCAAACTTTTTGCGAGTCTACTTGTGAGCAATGTAACTGAAGCAAAAGGTAAGCTTCTGTAGCTGGGGTTTTTTCTTCTTTTTTTAGTCACTTCATTTATCGAACAACAAGCAATATCAGCGTGTATTAATCTTGTTGGCTCAGTTGATAGTGCATAGGAGGTATAATTGTGAGGAATCCGAAATATCCCTTACCAATTATTATGAATCTAGGTTTCTGGAAATATTTATTCAAAATAGCCTATATTCACATTTGATCACATTTTTGAAATGATGTACAATTAACAATGTCGGTTTTATCTCTTTAGTCTTGACTCGTTCATTTCCCAGCTTTATCACATACTTTTGACATTTATTTCTCTATGCTATTTCAACTTTCCATATCATATATTATTAGTAAATATAGGGTCTTTTTCAAGCAATCAGTAGTTTTTATGTTATATTTCTGAAAATATCAGGAAACACATGGTTTACATTTGAGGTGATTTAATATTAAGTATTAGAATATTATGTAAAATAAAAAAATATATAAGTTTAAAGAAGCATATTTTATGAATAAATAATGGAGCACATTTGACAGTACCCCCAAACATCGCAGAGTGAGATCGACTGATTTGTCATTTGTCTGTCACAGTCCTAATTTCTTGTGCATCAGTGCATTGATGGGGATATTGTTCCACTCATACAAAAAAGACCTTAGATGGCCGAGAGTAGCGGGAGAATTCCGACTCTTCCTTACCCTCTTATCAAGTTCGTCCCAAAGATGTTAACTTAGAGACAATGTGATCTATAGGGCGACCAGTCTAGTGGGTTAATGTTATGGTTTGTTAGAAAGTCAAGACAAACTCTGGGTGCATGGGGCCGGGCATTATCATAGTGGAAAATTCGGAGATGTTTTGCACAAGAGGAACTGCAACCGGACGGAGGATTTTATCCTTCTATCTTACAGTGGTTACACTCCCGGCTACCACAATCAACGGGGACTTTACCCCGTGAGATATCCTTCCCTAGATTATAACCGAGCCACCTCCAAACCTATTCCTCTCAAGAACCCAATAGTCGGCGAAGCGTTCCCCACGACGTCGACCGTCCGGACGAAAAAAAGTGAACCGGGACCGTGAAAAAGACTTGTTTCTATTGCCTCATTGGAAATCGTTTGTGAGCAAACCAAGCCATACGACCCGCGCGACGTGAACGAGTGAGTGGCAGACCAACGTAAGGACGGCGAGCTCGCAGACTAACATCGTGCAATCGGTTCCTTACAGTTTTGGCGTGAAGTTGGCAATATGATTGCCTCCATAAAATTAGCGGTTTCAGTAGGAGTACATATGCGATTATGCCGGTTAGACGGATAGCCCTCTCTCTGAACTTCTGTCAGCCGTATCAGAATTGCAGGAGTTTTAAATTGACAGTAAATAGCGGAAAGCGATATGTATACCTAAAGAGTTTCAAGTGGTATGACAAGATGTGTTGACGAGCTTGTCATCATTATTCTATACGGGTGGGTTTTGTTTTTGTTTTTTTTAATTTGAACTCTTTAACAATGTTGCACGGTACATTACACAGTTGAGTAACTTTAGACACCGGTATGAGTGCACAGTGACTAAGATACTCGTCTGACCGGTTTTTATCTTTTCAGTACTGTATATATAAACATTTTATTCAAGTCTATGTCACAGGAAAATGATACAAATCACTTTAAAAGTCACAAAAGACCGAATCTGGAGGCTTTTTCGCTGCTTCATTGTATACAGTTCCTGAAATATTGCTGCTGTACAGTTGCCCAGGAGAATGAGGAAGAGCTGTATAGCATCGAATGGCCTGGCGAATCGCCCTGAATGAGATTTTTAGATTTACACATGCACATTAACCGTCACCACACACATACACACATATATATATAGGACCAGAAATAACAACGACATAAACCAAAGGTTATTTATGTAATTATGAATTATTAGGACAATGTGAATAAAGGTAGTGAGGAAATCTATTTTGACCTCTACGATAAGCTTTATTTACAAGCTGACGGAAGGGATATGCAACACTATATATAGCTACAGCCTATTACGAAAGTGGTACCTGGAGTTGTGTTAATGTAATTTCTGTTGTAGTATTGTTTAATAATGACTGATTATCTCTTTGTTATATGTTGTGATATGTAATTGATCATATTTTGGTTTTGAGAAAGGAGCGGATTGACTTAAAAATTTGATAAATTCCTTTGTCCGCAGTGTCTTTATTACTACCGTACCTATTTTAAGTACAAACATTTTTTTGTTTTAATCCAGTGTCCATATTGAATTATACTGTCGTTATTACTGATAAGATACATGAAAACAAATCTTATTCTAAATGTCAAGTTAAACAATTTCAACTTGAAGGGTATCAATACCATGTTGAATGTACAAAGATATCTTGCTTATTTTATGGCCATTTCTCTTCGTTACAGAGAGAATATATCGATTTAAAATCCCGCATTCCTCTTATTATTTGACCGAGTGGAGACAGCATGTAGCCAAACTTGTCAAAGCGAGGTTGGAGTTGCCAACATCCGATTACATATCATGGCCGGAAACGACCGCTTACAAAAAGACGCGAGGTTATACCATCATTGAACCGGAAATAAATGAAGAGATTTTTGACTCTTTTGTATGCCTGGATATTTGCGATAGGCTTAAAATTTTGGAAAGCTATGCAAAAGCCATAGAGAGGATAAAATCACTAGGAATAGGAAAGGCACATTTCAAATTGATTTGGTCAACATATTATTTAACTGACATTAATAATGCAAGTGCTTCCATGGAACGACTTTCGCTTGAGATGTGCAAATGCAATTGAAGTCTTCGAATGGGACGTTTTTCGTATGGATAGAAATTGAGTTCAGAAGGTACTTTCTTTTGCATTTGAAATCGTTGCGACAGAAAATGAAAGTTGACTTTTATCATTGAAATAAAGATGAAATTTACAAAATATAATGACCAATGGTGTTCTGTGTGTACAATTTCAGCGAGGCTACACCGGGTCTCGAACCACAGACTTCAGAGTGTACAATTACAGCGGGGCTACACCGGGACTCGAACCAGTCTTCAGAGTGATATAATATCATTCTAACCAAATAAGCTACCTGGTTAGCTGAAGTGTCCTTGCCAAACAGTGCTACGCTAAACACTAGATAAGCATGTAGCAAAGTCGGCAAAGTCATCCGTGACAAATTTCATCGTTCTCTCGTTGTTTTTTTTTAAACATATTAACATGGTGAGCACATGGTAATTGTCGTAATGTTAGTGAGACACATACACAATACTTTTATGTCGGTGTGTTAGTGAGATACATACAAAATACTTTCTATGGCGGCGTGTTAGTGAGATACATACACAATACTTTCTATGTCTGTGTGTTAGTGAGAGACATATACCATACTTTCTATGTCGGTGTGTTAGTGAGACATATACACAATAATGTATATGTCTGTGTGTTGGTGATAGACAAACACAACATTTTCTATGTCGGTGTGTTAGTGAGATGCACAAAAAATAATATCTATTTTTTGTGAGATACACTCTAAATTCTCCTGATGTCGATTTTCAAGAAGAAAAATACACGGAAGGTATGATATGCGTACTCATCTATCTGTAGCTTGAGGTCTAGTAGATTGGATGTGAAGAATCGTTTTCCGGGTCTACGATCCCTGAAACATCCAGATTTTTTAATCGGAAATATAGATAATCATGTTTAAGTGTATAACCACTTGTAACACTAAGATGATATCAACGAACACCTAATGAAAACTTGCACAATTTGAAACCTTTTATTAACTTGTGAACATAGAATATCAAAGAAGAGTGTGTAACTATTAATGGAATTCTCGTGTAGACATTGTAGCGTGCTGGACGTGTGTGTATTTCTCGACGAAGACATTCCCATGTATATTGGCATAGTAACCATCGACTTACGATTGACATTGAATTTCGTAATAGTTATAAAAGATGTCGCATAGTTATTTGCAACACATCGCTTACCATCCTCCATGTACCTTAAACATTGAATTGATCACGCTTGAGCAAGTCAGAAGCGATGACACAGACACATATTTGTTATTGATGGACGGACAAATATTTCGGACGGATGGATGGACGAAGCGACGACTGTACCCTTTCCGAATTCTCTACGCTAAAATCAGACAGATTCATTAACACACGTTGATGTGGCTAGTCTAATAATAGAATAAACAACGCCACTCTGCTATATGTTTTAGCCAAGAGACACAAACAAAACCAAAGACAATACATTCCACTTTGTCTTTGTCCAGAGACTTACGAGTAGGTAAAGCCGCAAAACTTCCATCCGTTGTAATCGAGAGATAAAGGAGAAAAACAGGCAAAGTAGTCTATATTGTCTGTGTGGCACAGGGATATGTCTTTGTCCTACTGTGGCTGATTTGTGCTATTTCGTTATTTCGTCTTTTTCGACCCAAAAGGATGAAAATTGGCAAACCTTAAATCTCGTTGTGTCGTCTTTTCGGGGCGAAAGTACAATAATAAACAAACCTTTATTCCCGTTGTGTTGTCTTTTCGCCCCGAAAGGAGGAAAATTGCAAACCTTAAATCTAGTTGTGTCGTCTTTTCGGAGCGAAAGGACAATTATGAACAAACCTTAATTCTCGTTGTGTCGTCTTTTCTCCCCGAAAGGACGAAAAGAAAAGAAATCACATGCGAAAAGAAGAACAAAAGGCATGCTTATTAGCAACTCCAACGTCTCATCATTTCAGGGTAGAAATTTCGTCTTTTCATTGTTTTGTCTTTTTGCCCCGAAAGGACGATAATTAAGACACCTTATTTATCGGTGTTGTCCCAGGGTCAAGGGGAGGGGGTGGAAGGAATGATAAGTCGCTAAATAGCGTGCATATTTTCGTCTTTTTGCGTGTGATTTCTCGTCTTTTCGTCTTTTGAGGCGTAAAGACAAATGACGTGAAGCTAAAAGACTACACAATGAGAATTAAGGTTTGTTAATGGTGCTATTGTCGCACAAATCAGAAATGACACAAATCAGCCACCGTTGTATACGACTCCTGTTAGAGGTATGGCTATTTGATATGGGATAATATAACAATAGTCCCAAGTCTATTGTTAGATAGTATACAACTCGAAGCAGCTAGAACTGTAACCGAGACTACTTAATAAGTCAGTCATGACAGAATGCATGGTATTTAACATTTGTCGGGGAAATGCTTATACCCTTCGAAGAAGAAAACATGAAATCGCAGATTGTCCGTGGCCCGTGCCCCTCCTATTTCATGATTTTAATCTAAACATATTTAGTACAAATACATATTTGCAAAAGAATTGGACAACAGTTTTTACAGCTTGTTCAGCTTGTTATAGTCCTTTTCTTCAAAATACACGAATATAAACCATTAATCGATAAGGCAATTATTAATTAACGCTATATATATCAATTGTATTATTTATGGAAATAGAAAGGTTTGAGGAAGAAGAGACAGAGAGGATCACGAAGTAAGGCATAGAAAGACAGGAAAGTGTCAGAGTAATAAAAGAGAGATAGCGAGAGAAAGATGATCACATGCAGATAAACCGGTTGCATTTGCTTATATAATTTTGAACCGATTTTACAATTAAGTTTTTTTCATCTATACTGAATTTCGGATCACTATATAGGAATTAATCTTAAGTTAAATGTTAACGAAAATACTTTAACTTTCTTTTTGATAGATTGGGATATTGTGTGTATAATTCATAATTCATGTAATAGCATGCTTTTTGCTCGTCATTCATGTGCATACATGTACATGTACAACCAGTCTCCTGAAACTACTGAACTCTTCAATCTCCCCTGACTTAATAACCCACAATTAAGAATCCAGTGTTTTAGTAGCCTTCCTCGTAACTATAATGTTATCATTCTACTGTACGGAAATCTTGATATGCCAATCGATGCAGTTTTATGAGAATGTTTTTGACCGTGTCCAAATTGTAATATATCTCTTGATTTTATTTAAGTTTTCTACAGTTAAATATGCATTAGTATTATATCCGGGTGAGCTAATAGCGTTTATGATATGCCTTGTTCTACTTAAAGTTTGGTTAAGAGGTGTTAGAAAATGAATCAATCATTATGTAAGTTTGCGATATCATAGGATATTCTACCCTCGGGGGCAGAAGTCGGTGTCAAATCCTCGGTTCTGACCCAAGTTTTAAACCATCGGGTATCATATCCATATCCTACAGACTTGTGCACGTGATAGACTCTAAAAGTAGTTTCCCTTAATGATCAATTTTGCTAAAACGTATTTAATTAAGGCATCACATATTGGAAAGCAATTTTACCCAAACGTTACGTAACAATATGATGAATAATGTCCTTTTCGACATCTAATGCTCATTCGAGCATCCGTGACTAATCAGTGGTTACCGTGGAATGTAAATAGAATTAGTCTCTGTGTTTAAAGTGTTTCAAAACATTTACAAACAGACAACAACGGGTAAGATCCACGATATTTCATGACACCTGTTCAACACACACACAAAAACAGCTACAACGTTACTGCTGAGTCAGTGGGTCAGTTTGTGTTTAAGTTAAATAAACATTTTTCAACGCATTGTTATTACATGATGTATCTCCCTTGATGGTGAATAGTAAGAAAATGAAGGTATAATAAGTTTTAATTGTAACAAGGACAGTTCCAACAAACTGTCCATGTAGTCACAAATGATGAATTGGAAAGAATTTATAATGTAATTTGATACACTTTTATCACATAATGTACTATGTTATCCATTGAATATACCCATGTCATATTTTTCCGCGTATTAACCCATGAAACTCGTCACGAATTTTTCATTTGAGCTCACCAGAGGCTTGCTAAATTGAAAATTCTTAGACTCGTTTCATAAATCTCATATGAAATGGAAAATCATGTAAGATCCTATATATATTTATACAATGTATACTAATTTGCAGTAAAAACAGACATTTTGAGGAACTGTGGTTATCTCCTTGACGTACACCCATAAATGTGACAATCGATCATAGACAATGACGGACATGAAAATGAAAATGAAACGCAATACACACATCTACATAACATACGGAGCTGATAATTTGTAACAGCTATATTTCGACCTCAACTAAGGTCCTCAGAGTAATTTTACATATCTTCAGGTTTAGATCGTCTCTCAGTACAAATGCCACCCCAATGATTATATATAATCATTGGGGTGGCATTTTTACCAAAAGTCGATATTGTTCCCTAAAACATGTAAAATTACTCTGAACACCTTAGTTTAGGTCCAAATATAGCTGTTACACGTTAGCAGGTCTCTGTGCTACATAAGTCTACCAATGGTCGTATGAGAAGCTCAATAAGTACACTATATCCCAAAAGTAATTTCTGCGAATTTGGCATACGTGAATCTGTCACGAGGTACTGGTCACAGGTCGGTGTTTTTTTCTGCGGTTACTCATGATCAGGTCGTACTTCTTCTTCATTTGCATGCTACAGAGCGGGGGTACAGACCGAGAGCGTGTACAAGTAACACCAGTAAATGTGTCAATAGTAGTCGTAGACTAATGGTATGACGTCTACAACGGTGAGTTAACGATGAGCTACAGTGCAAGATTCATCTTGAATATCAACGCACTAGTGCATGTCAGGATAAAAGGTGCGAGTTATGCTCCAGTATGTACAGTTAAAAAGTGAAAACACCGGGTGTCTACTGTGCTGACACCAGCTGGACCCTACACATGCTGTGGTGGAATGCCTCTGTCGACGGTGATTTCAGTACTAGTACTGATGAGGGGAGCTTGTTCCAGGTCCTGGCTGTTGTTGGGAAGAAAGAATGTTGGTAAGCTAGTATACTGGAGTGGGAGGTGAGGTAGCGGTGTTGGTGCCCTCTTGTTACTCTGGTCGTCGTCTCTGATCGTAAGAGGTAAGCTTGAAGGTCGATGTCTACGATGTTATGTAAAGCATCACTTACTGTGCCCTCAACTGGCGTTCCTGGAGGGTGCTCCAACGCTGCTGTGCCTGTCAAAGTCGCCCATGACATAGCGTACTGCACGCCTTAGCACATTCTCCAGTTTGTCAATGTTCCAATGAGTATATGGGTTCCATTGAGCCATATCCTAATAGGGGTCTTACTAAGGTGCACGTGGTGTAGCAGACGGTCTTGACTTGGGTTGGAGAGCTCTTCAATGTGCGTTGGATAAAGGCGTTGGTGGAGTTTGCCTTTTTGCTGGTGACATCTATATGTGCTTGTTCCATGACAAGTTCCACTGGATGTGAACGCCGAGGTACTTAGCTGATGGTACAGCTCTGGGTGTCTGGTTGTGGATATATAGCTGTGTCCTTAAACAATCATAGCTATTACAATTGGACGTAAAGCACAGAGCAAACAATAAACAACAAATATATANAAGGTGTTAGAAAATGAATCAATCATTATGTAAGTTTGCGATATCATAGGATATTCTACCCTCGGGGGCAGAAGTCGGTGTCAGATCCTCGGTTCTGACCCAAATTTTAAACCATCTGGTATAATATCCATATCCTACATACTTGTGCACGTGATAGACTCTAAAAGTAGTTTCCCTTAATGATCAATTTTGCTAAAACGTATTTAATCAAAGCATCACATATTGGAAAGCAATTATACCCAAACGTTACGTAACAATATGATGAATAATGTCCTTTTCGACATTTTACGCTCATTCGAGCATTCGTGACTAATCAGTGGTTACCATGGAATGTAAATGGAATCAATCTCTGTGTTTAAAGTGTTTCAAAACATTTACAAACAGACAACAACGGGGAAGATCCACGATATTTCATGACACCCGTTCAACACACACACAAAAACAGCTACAACGTTACTGCTGAGTCAGTGGGTCAGTTTGTGTTTAAGTTAAATAAACATTTTTCAACGCATTGTAATTACATGATGTATCTCCCTTGATGGTGAATAGTAAGAAAATGAAGGTATAATAAGTTTTAATTGTAACAGGGACAGTTCCAACAAACTGTCCATGTAGTCACAAATGATGAATTGGAAAGAATTTATAATGTAATTTAATACACTTTTATCACATAATGTACTATGTTATCCATTGAATATACCCATGTCATATTTTTCCGCGTATTAACCCATGAAACTCGTCATGAATTTTTCATTTGAGCTCACCAGAGGCTTGCTAAATTGAAAATTCTTAGACTCGTTTCATAAATCTCATATGAAATGGAAAATCATGTAAGATCCTATATATATTTATACAATGTATACTAATTTGCAGTAAAATCAGACATTTTGAGGAACTGTGGTTATCTCCTTGACGTACACCCATAAATGTGACAATCGATCATAGACAATGACGGACATGAAAATGAAAATGAAACGCAATACACACATCTACATAACACACGGAGCTGATAATTTGTAACAGCTATATTTCGACCTCAACTAAGGTCCTCAGAGTAATTTTACATATCTTCGGGTTTAGATCGTCTCTCAGTACAAATGCCACCCCCAATGATTATATATAATCATTGGGGTGGCATTTTTACCAAAAGTCGATATTGTTCCCTAAAACATGTAAAATTACTCTGAACACCTTAGTTTAGGTTCAAATATAGCTGTTACACATTATCAGGTCTCTGTGCTACATAAGTCTACCAATGGTCGTATGAGAAGCTCAATAAGTACACTATATCCCATAAGTAATTTCTGCGAATTTGGCATACGTGAATCTGTCACGAGGTACTGGTCACAGGTCGGTGTTTTTTTCTGCGGTTACTCGTGATCAGGTCGTACTTCTTCTTCATTCGCATGCTACAGAGCGGGGGTACAGATCGAGAGCGTGTACAAGTAACACCAGTAAATGTGTCAATAGTAATCGTAGACCAATGGTATGGCGTCTACAACGGTGAGTTAACGGTGAGCTACAGTGCAAGATTCATCTTGAATATCAACGCACTAGTGCATGTCAGAATAAAAGGTGGGGTTATGCTCCAGTATGTACAGTTAAAAGGTGAAAACACCGGGTGTCTACTGTCTTGACACCAGCTGGACCCTACACATGCTGTGGTGGAATGCCTCTGTCGACGGTGATTTCAGTACTAGTACTGATGAGGGGAGCTTGTTCCAGGTCCTGGCTGTTGTTGGGAATAAAGAATGTTGGTAAGATAGGATACTGGAGTGGGAGGTGAGGTAGCGGTGTTGGTTCCCTCTTATTATTCTGGTCGTCGTCTCTGATGGTAAGAGGTAAGCTTGTAGGTCGATGTCTACGATGTTATGTAAAGCATCACTTACTGTGCCCTCAACTGGCGTTCCTGGAGGGTGCTCCAACGCTGCTGTGCCTGTCAAAGTCGCCCATGACATAGCGTACTTTACGCCTTTGCACATTCTCCAGTTTGTCAATGTTCCTACGAGTATATGGGTTCCATTGAGCCATATCCTAATAGGGGTCTTACTAAGGTGCACGTGGTGTAGCAGACGGTCTTGACTTGGGTTGGAGAGCTCTTCAATGTGCGTTGGATAAAGGCGTTGGTGGAGTTTGCCTTTTTGATGGTGACATCTATATGTGCTTGTTCCATGACAAGTTCCACTGGATGTGAACGCCGAGGTACTTAGCTGATGGTACAGCTTTGGGTGTCTGGTTGTGGATGGATAGCTGTGTCCTTAAACAGTCATAGCTGTTGCAATTGGACGTAAAGCACAGAGCAAACAATAAACAACAAATATATAGATTTCTTATACCAAAAATAGTCACCATAATAATACCCCTTGGCGAAAGCCAAAAATAAACATGTTTAGCACATGTGATATATATTAACATAGAGTAAGGCCGGGTACGTGATTTCGTACAGGACGTGATTACGTACAGTTAATAGAATTTTCTAATTTGTATCCATCGCTTTCGATAGAGGCATAAAATCGTCCGTCTTCGGTGATGCTAAATATAGAATTTCCAAATAGCTTCGTTTTTCAAAACGAAACTAGCGAGCCGAGCTGTCCTCTGCAGAATGGGCCCCAGGTAACCTTAAAGCATTATCTTAAACATAATCTAGCCAATTTTCTTGTGATCAATTTGAGATTGTTTAAATAAAATAATATTTTACCATTTACATTAGAATATGTCAAAAAGACCCTCAAATATAACAAATATCAGCGTGTTTTAAAGTACACGCCCACTCAATGCCAGGGAAGCTATCGTAGGGAGAAGTAATGATTTTGAAATTGATCTAAAATATTTGTTGTTATTTTTTGCCTTAAACACGCTTTTAAAACTCATAATTTTTTCAAAAATATTTCTGGTGTATGGAAATTGGCAAATCTGAATAAAATACATTCGACTTATATACTTATATTCGACTTATTTACTAAGAATAGGCTAGCCCATTTGTAGAGTGTACGAAATCGCGTTCCCCATTGCCGCGATAAGTATACGAAATCAGGTACCCTCACTCTAGAACATTTAGGCCTAGTACATTGTATTTTTGATAATACTAAAAACTCGCCCACATGGGTAAAAATGGCGATTGTTATTAACATTGTATAAACATCTTTCTGATGTTAGTATTATCACAAATAATTGCTCACTAGTTGCTATACATTTGGATTGCATTCTTTAACTAATTTATTCCAGTCTCTACCTACGTCTTTATTATAAATGATTATCTCCCCTCTCTGGGGGTTTTCATTGGGCGTTCCGTCATCCCTTTTTTAATATTCAACTTGAAATGAACAGGAACTTACCAACTAATTTCTATAAAGATTTATCTAAAGTCAAATTGATCCGAATTTTGACATGAAGAAATTGTTCCCATACACTAGGATTGCATCTGGTTCGATCGCTTTCTGTTCATATGACATGTACCGGGCATGTTTTCTTCACCACGTGAAAGCCTCGTTTGGATAAAAGGGGAATTCCCGTCTGTAATAAGAAAAAGATGGCGGACACTGAACACACGGACAGTGATAACACTGCAATTTCATCAAAAACAAAGCAGAAGAAAAAGAATGATGCAGTGCCTGGTGTGATATATCTCAGCAGAATTCCTCCTTTTATGAATGTGAAGAAGATACGCGACATATTCAGTGAATATGGAGACGTGGAGAGAATATTTCTTCAGCCAAACGGTAATAACAACGCCACAGTCGATAACCGGTTCAGAACTCTGTCGGCTTTCCGAGACTGTCCAGTGTTTTTGAGATAAGTGTGTCGCCTGCAACGCGAGGCGACATATAGGTATGACTTTGACGGCGTCGGTTGCGTCGTCCGAAACAAGGTTTCCGTGCGATAACTTGAGTTCCCTTGGGTTGATTGAAATCAAACTTGGTACACATATAGGCCTATTGCATACCAATATAGACAAGACGAGTTCGCATTTTAGAAGTTTACATGCATTTTTGGTGGAATTATACCCATTTTATTGCCAACTAAAGTAAATGCAAGACTTTTTGGTTTTCTAACCAATTCCTTTCAAATTTTTACGGTAATTTAATGCTAGAAGCATAATGGTTAACAAATATTACTGGTTTTTCTGTCGAGTTTCAACTTTCCAACGACCCCTATACAACTTGGTTAAACTTGCCATAAGTCACTCTTATCTACAGATCTCAACCTATATCATAAGCACAATTATCTAAACTACTCATAGCTACTATCTTCAAATAAAACTTTGACATTGACTCAAGCCAGGACTCATAAAATGCATAACAAATTATATGTACACTTAGAACAATTAAACAGCTAATAAATGAATAACAGTGACTGAAAAACTGATCAAATGTATTGGGGTCGGCATGAAAAAATAGGGTCAGTCGGGAAACTAGAAACACAGCTATATACAGCTACAGTAGATAGCCAATGGTATGTGAATTCTCATTAGTTAGGAGTAAAGGACCTGTAACACAGGTGCTGGACACACTAGTTATAGGAATATTAATAAGATTGTTTTACATTAATTAGAATAGATCATATTACTATATTGAGTATATTGAGTATATCCAGCACCCGTGATAGTAAGCTTAAGATAACCCTGGCATCATATAGAAGATATCAAATCAATATAATTTATATGTATAATGTAAACCCCAGTGTCGTCAGTTTTCAATGTACTTTATATCCAAACGTAAGTAACATGAAAGAGCAAAATATCTCATAATTATAATCAATACAATACAGATTAAGGCAAACATTAGTTACATTCCAAGCGCTAGCCCTATCAGTTAAGGTGATTTACTATTATTGTAATAATAGTTCTGTAAAAGATCAATACATGGCAAGTGATTCCTAATGTACCTGTTTTTCTTATGAAACTTACAGAGCGAGGAGCAAACACCAAGAAAGGTCGATTGTTTACAGAAGGCTGGCTGGAGTTCAGTAACAAGAAGGTCGCGAAGTATGTGGCGTTAACATTGAACAACTCTAATGTCGGGGGTAAAAAGTCAAGCCAGTGGTATGACGAGCTGTGGAACATCAAATACCTGCACAGGTAACAATAATCAGTTTCATACGTACTTTATAAGGCCAAGGGAAACGGTAACAGTTTGTCTGGAGAGGGGGGATGTGTATGTCTAAATAAAACTCTGAAGGGAAATAGTTGACTNGTTCATACGTACTTTATAAGGCCAAGAGAAACGGTAACAGTTTGTCTGGAGAGGGGGGATGTGTATGTCTAAATAAAACTCTGAAGGGAAATAGTTGACTTTTTATAAATATTTTCAAATCTTTCCATCATTTAGATGTAGTGATCGTACAAGATACAAGAATTTTTATTTAACATCTCAAATTTAAAACAATAAAACATTAGCACTGAAGTGCTATTCTTGCGACAAACATGAAGAATAATAACAATCACATGCTGGTAATGACAAAGACTAGTTAAATGACAAACAAATATCATAGAGGCAATTAAACGAGTAAAACAAAGGACACCGGCCAAGCAGCACATACATAATCACAGAAAGGTAGCATAATAATTCCAATTTATAAAACTAGGTCTAAGTACTGAAAACTTATATGTCACACAATATATAGCTAGTATTTCAAAATTAAGATTATTAAAAACAGGAAGCACATAAAGCATACAAGACATACATGAGAGTAAAAAGAGTAACAATGTTGCTGTAAAAGGGGGAGAACTCCATTAAAAGGTCAAGAAACGTATAGCATACATGATAGTAAAAATCAAATATGAGTAAAAAAAACTTGGTGGTAATGATCCCAAAGGGGGACAACTCACACTGGTATGTGCATATAAGCACACAGATCAGCCCTTGAAACGCCTCGTGGCTGCAGACAAACACCTTGCATTCTTTGTCATAGTCATCATGATGTTTGAAAATTCAGGATTATCTGTTTATTTTGGATTTGGACTTTCTGTCTCATTTTGGGAAGAAAATATACCAATTTGGAAAGAAATTTTCCAGAGTAAACTGCAAATTTTGGGAAATAGGCATATATAATTATGAAACAGTTTCAAGTGGCAATGGAGTCTATTAATTATCGACCCAAGAAAAGAGCATAGAAATTAGGTGCGTTTAATTACATCATGAACATACATGACACATTAACCAATGCAATTAAACAGTTTAAGGGTAGCAAACGCTAGATTAAATTACACGGTAGGACAGACTCACATTTACGGTAGTAATTTTTGGATGAATACGGTCAGGTTGGAAACAGGTACAAGGTGTGGAGTTTTGGCTAATTTTACAGTCAAATACAGGCCGCTTGCCCTAGCAAGAAAAAAAACACTAATATTTTCCAAAAATATTACAAGAAAATTATTTCCCAATTTAAAAAACAATAATGGCATATTTTCCCAATTCATGTGGGAACAAGTTGTTGTAAAATTCAGGAAAACAAAAACTCTTTCACTAATCTAAAGAAATGATTGCTTGCTTTGGTAACTTAATTGAAACATTATAAATATGTACTCACAATTGGTAATCACACACAAATTCTATTATAACAGTTTTTGTCTCCTCAGTCATGCAGTATTGGCATTTTTTCTGAAACATGTCGTGCATTTCAAAAATCTATACTTGGCCATTAACATGAAATGAGGTAATTAGGTAAAGTTTAAAATGTTCTATTATGACATGTAAATGTCATCGAAACCAAAACAGCACAGCAAGCTCGTGTCTGAAACTGGACACTTGAAGGAAAGTGGCCCCAGGAAATGGAATGCAATCTAAATAAGTCTTTTTATGTATTTACATATCATACTGCATGTACCTATGTTAAATATTATGCTTTTTTGTCAATAAAATAGATCTGGTTTATTGGCTAAAGTTTATGGTGATATGAACAGATCGAGGTTGGAAAGAATTAAACTGGACAATGTCTGGATTCAGTTTTAGTTACGAAATCAACATTTTTATGGAATTCATTTGTACACAATTTATAATTTCAACGACTGATTTGTTATCACTTACATATATGTATGGTGTATTATTTTCCTTAAAAATGATTTTTGTTCCAATATGTTGAGAAGAACTAAGTAGATATTGCCATTTGAGTCTCGCTTCATATCCCTTAAAAAAAAAAAACTTATTTTACAACAATTATAAAACAAGTTATTTCAACTTATATTAATCACTCTAGTCTTGTTGTCCTGGATGTTAGCGAACCCGCTGTGTGTTGTCATTTCCCCTCCATATATACAAAATAATTTGCTGTGTTGAATAACATTATGGCCACATTTTTTTCAGATTTAAGTGGGCTCATTTAAATGAAAGATTGGCATATGAGAAAGAAGTTCGTAAACAGCGAATGAGGACTGCTATCTCGCAGGTAAAACGTCAGGCCCAGTTCCACATCCGCAACGCTGAAGGAAATCAAGTCAAACAACACATACAGGCGAGAAAACGGAGACAGGGCAAGCCAGTTGGTGGAGAGAAAGAAGGGAATGAAAAACTTTATGTAATAGCACAGAAAGATACAGAGGAAGATAAGATGTTAAACAAAAAGAGGAAGTTAGACGGAGGTGGTGACATTTCAAACTCAAAGAGGACAAAAAAGAAAGACATTGAGAGGAAGAAATCTGTGGCTGGGCGGTCATCATTTCTCAAAAACATTTTCTCAGGGGGGATAGTTGAGGGAGACAGCTGAATTAAATATGTAAAACAATACATTATTTGTTGTTGTTTTTTTAATACCGTATTTTGTTAATAAGTTCTTTATTTTAATCAGGTTTGGAGGTTATAACTCCAGTTGAACACATGTGAATTCAATATATTTCAATCATAATCAATTTACTGTTTTTGCAGATCAGTTTAATTTTTGCCTTACTGGCTTCCATAAAAGTGTTGAATAAAAACAGAATTTATATTTAGAGTGAACATTAGTAAAGAACATAATAAACATAGTAATCAAAAGTAAAAGGCGAAACTTACACTGGGCGAATACAGATTTTACCAGGTGTAGGGCGAATACAGATTTTACCAGGTGTAGGGCGAATACAGATTTTACCTGGCACAGAGCGAAAATTTTGACCAAGCAAAAATGTTCCAGTGTACTGTAATATTTGCCTTGTAGATTGCTTAATAAAGTAAAGTGCTTTTACATTGTTCAAATAAAAATACCTTGATCTATGTTGAAGGACAGAGGAGTTAAATTTATTGAATTATTCAAACTATGTCTTCCAACAAACAATAAGGCATATGATTATATTTGATCATACTTAAATAATACAGTATTTAGTCTCAAACTTTCTGGAGGTTTGGAGTTAATACAAGGTCACATTGGGCGTTTTTTCAATTGTTTTTGATGTACTGGATCTTTGAGTATGAGCTTTAGATGATCTAGCAGCAGGAGATGGTGCAAGTCAGTTTTAATATACATTTTTATTACCCTTTTTTGACTTTCGTGGTCAGTTGTGCTTAAGTCTTAAAATACAACTTCTTACAAATAATGAGGTCTAATAAAAAGGTCAATAAGTTGCTATCAAGTAAGAAGTTTGTTTGGATGAATATATGTTATTTATAACTTTAACATATGATTCAAGTTTTTAAGATTGATAACTGTATACAGGGAACATTTTTCGCCCAGTCAAATGTTGGCCCTACACCAATGAAATCCATTTTCGCCCAATTTTAATTTTGACCTCATTTGAGTACTATTTGTATTATAGTGCTTACTACTGTTCACCGTTATGATAAATTCGCCCTCATTATCCTCATTATGGAGGGCAAAAATTTAACTGCAGAAAAAATGTCCTGGTACATTGTGTATATTTATAGTATTACAGGCTATATTAGACCTCTTATAATTATCACCACTGGCATTTTTGCAACTTTGATTGGTGGATGTCTTCTTGAGGTGGAAGGTAGAAATCACATACATGTACAACATATATACTACATATAGTATACATGTACCACATACAAAAAGCGACATAAATTCATGCAAACATTAATATTGTACTGTACCAACCCTGACAAAGACAGCTGTAGATCACAGTGGCTGTTTATTCTTGGTTCCAAGACTGAAAAAGATTTTACCACTTTACTACTTAATAAGGTAAAGGGTACAGTGAGGTTTATATATTGTACAAATGTATCACCATTGTTGCTGTCCATTCCAACAAAAGCACTGGCGTTTCATAAAAATCACACTGCATTATTCAATTTACATATCTGAACCAAGGCCGACCTCGGGACTAATCTAGATCTGCACCTGTAGATTGACGAAAAAGTTCACTAAAATGCTGACTATTGTTAGTTTGCATTATTTCTTTATAAAACAAGGTCAAGCCACATTTAGATTTTAAGATACATTATGTTATTACTTCTGAGGATGCCCGAAAGAAGGATATAATATTCTTGATAAAAATATTATTTATTCTCCGAAACTGATTATTTTGAGCTCTGCTTATAGTTGGGTCCAAGTACATTAATTGATCATGGATTATTTCTGTGCCACCTGAACCGTTTCAACCAGGATACGCGAATGTAAATTTAATCTTCCATATAAAAGGGAGACTACTCAAGTTGGTAAAACAACTCAAAAGTAGAACTCTTCTTTAAGATTGTAGCTGATGCAAATGGTTCTCTTTACCTAAAATAAATTCAAGAGTTAAATGAGCAGACAAATAAATTCTAATAAGCAGGGGTAGCCCATTTATTTCATTGTACATTATATATATATACAACAAATGTATTACATGGTTATTTTTACATACGTATACAACCACACAAATTGAACTCATTACAAAGATGGGTAAATGCATGAACATATTTTATCCAACAGTATTTGCTCCATGCACAATGAGTCGCTTGTACATGTATATGAAATTATAAAATGTTCTTGCATCAAATCATGATCACCCGTAAATATAATTATCTCCGACTTCAATAAGGCTGCTATTAGTTGTGAATATTGCAGCAAATTGTTACTATTGTGATACATTTAGTATTGAAAACACAACTGCAATAGCTGAACTATTGTGTGTCATAGATCTATTCTTGTACATGTTGTCAGAATGTGGTAAAATGTATGCGATATCATGATCATGGTTACACTGTAGAGCATCATAGTAATACACACGGTTACTATGTAGTGCGATAACACCATCATATAGTAATTCACAAGGTTACTATGTAGTGTGATAACACCATCATATAGTAATTCACAAGGTTACTATGTAGTGTGATAACACCATCATATAGTAATACACAAGGGTGCTGTGTAGTGATAACACCATCATATAGTAATACACAAGGTTTCTATGTAGTGTGATAACACCATCATATAGTAATACACGAGGTTTCTATGTAGTGCGATAACACCATCATATGGTAATATATAAGGTTTCTATGAAGTGTGATAACACCATCATACAGTAATACATAAGGGTGCTATGTAATGTGATAACACCATCATACAGTAATACATAAGGGTGCTATGTAGTGTGATAACACCATCATATAGTAATACACAAGGTTACTGTGTAGTGTGATAACACCATCATATAGTAATATATAAGGTTTCTATGTAATGTGATAACACCATCATATAGTAATATATAAGGTTTCTATGTAGTGCGATAACACCATCATATAGTAATCCACAAGGTTACTATGTAGTGTGATTACACCATCATATAGTAATACACAAGGTTACTGTGTAGTGTGATAACACCATCATATAGTAATACACCAGGTTACTATGTAGTGCAATAACACCATCATATAGTAATACACAAGGTTACTATGTAGTTGCGATAACACCATCATATAGTAATATATAAGGTTTCTATGTAGTGTGATACCACCATCATATAGTAATCCACAAGGTTACTATGTAGTTGCGATAACACCATCATATAATAGTACACAAGGTTACTAGGTAGTGTGATAACACCCCCATTTAGTAATACACCAGGTTAGTATGTAGTGTGATAACCCCATCATATAGTAATATATAAGGTGTAATACACAAGGTTACTATGTAGTTGCGATAACACCATCATATAATAATACACAAGGTTACCATGTAGTGTGATAACACAATCATACAGTAATACGTAAGGGTGCTATGTATTACTGTATGATTGTGTTATCACACTACATAGTAACCTGGTGTATTACTATGTAGTGTGATAACACCATCATATAGTAATACACCAGGTTACTATGTAGTGCGATAGCACCATCATATAGTAATACCCAAGGTGACTATGTAGTGTGATAACACCATCATATAGTAATATATAAGGTTTCTATGTAGTGTGATAACACCATCATATAATAATACACAAGGTTACTATGTAGTGCGATAACACCATCATATAGTAATATATAAGGTTTCTATGTAGTGTGATAACACCATCATATAGTAATATATAAAGTTACTATGTAGTGTGATAACACCATCATACAGTAATACATAAGGGAGCTATGTAGTGTGATAACACCATCATATAGTAATACACCAGGGTACTATGTAGTGTGATAACACCATCATATAGTAATATATAAGGTTTCTATGTAGTGTGATAACACCATCATATAGTAATACACAAGGTTACTATGTAGTGTGATAACACCATCATTTAGTAATATACAAGGTGACTATGTAGTGTGATAACACTATCATATAGTAATACACAAGGTTACTATGTAGTGTGATAACACCATCATATAGTAATACACCAGGTGACTATGTAGTGTGATAACACCATCATATAGTAATACACCAGGTTACTATGTAGTGTGATAACACCATCATATAGTAATACACCAGGTTACTATGTAGTGTGATAACACCATCATATAGTAATACACCAGGTTACTATGTAGTGCGATAACACCATCATATAGTAATATATAAAGTTACTATGTAGTGCGATAACACTATCATATAGTAATACACCAGGTAACTATGTAGTGCGATAACACCATCATATAGTAATACACCAGGTTACTGTGTAGTGTGATAACACCATCATATAGTAATACACCAGGTGACTATGTAGTGTGATAACACCATCATATAGTAATTCACAAGGTTACTATGTAGTGTGATAACACCATCATATAGTAATATATAAAGTTACTATGTACTGTGATAACACTATCATATAGTAATACACCAGGTAACTATGTAGTGCGATAACACCATCATATAGTAATATACAAGGTTACTATGTAGTGCGATAACACCATCATATAGCAATATATAAAGTTACTATGTAGTGCGATAACACCATCATATAGTAATACACCAGGTTACTATGTAGTGTGATAACACCATCATATAGTAATACACATGGGTGCTATGTAGTGTGATAACACCATCATATAGTAATACATACTATATTCCACATAAAATTATATCATTATAGACACATGTACATACTTTAATCACACACAATTTTGTTTTCCCATTCATAATCGATTCATAACAGGCCAATTTTCCACAATGTTTGAACACTTGTGATCATCATAGGGAATAATACACATTCGTAACTATAGAAAAAAAACGTTTCAAGCAAAATAATTATATATTTAAGCATTGAACTGCTTTCAGTTGGCATTCATATTGCCTATGAATGCCAACTGAACAAAGGCATATTCAATGAAGTAGTGCGCTTCATGTTGGATTTGTCTTTGTCCAGTTGGAATTCATATTCCCTATGAATGACAATTGAAAGTAGTTCAATATTTATATTTTCCATTTTTTTGAATCTGTCCATCTCATAAAAAATTCAATTACATTTATTATTATTCAGCATTTAGTTCAAATAATGTATCATGTATACTTATTCAATGAATAGAACAGCCATCGCCTGGGGATGGTCAGCAGGCACGGATTTAGGGGGGGGTACACCCGGCCCCCCCTTTTGGCGGCGGACTGACCTTTTCCGGGCCGGCCCGAAATGGTCTGATCGGCCGGGAACGGGAACATATTAACATTTTAAAATGCATCAAATAATGCACGGAGCTTGTATAAGAAAAATCTGGGTCTACGCCCCACACATCCCATAAGGCATCCTAGCAAATATTGTGGGTTTCCGTTATCTGACATTTTTACTATATTTTCTTTATTAAAACAATATTTGTTGGCATCGCTACACTCGTCTACTTTGTATCTTGACCCTAAAGTGTGTTCCGCAAAACCCCAAGTTGCAACTTGCAACGCTCGGCGGAAATATACTAACATAAGTTGCATAATTATATTATTGACCGCTCGTTCCAGATGATCTGAAAATTAATACTTTTTATTGTAACCTTCCTAACCGCCCGGGCGATATTAATCATATCATTATACAAGAACGATAAAGGTTTTTTTCGGCTGACAATATTATTTATAATCGACTTAACATATCCATTCAATTATTTTGGTATTATATATATTGTTGGAACTGTTTAACTATCTTGTATGTACAACATAATATCTCATTGTGGTACTTATAGCTTACCATCGTGTACGTACAAGAAAGTATCACCAGGTTGCCCCTATAACAATACCATATGACTTCTAAAACACGCTGTTGATAGAGAATTTGAACCGAAACTTTAATTTTCTTTCCAGTACACAAAAAAAGTCTTTGGGCCATACTTAATTTTTTTTTTTCTTCTTGTTAATTAAACATAAAAACAATCTTCAGAACACGGGAAATCGCTTCTGAGACGTTCTAGAAAACACATTTTTTTGGGGGGGATCCCCCAAACCTCCCTTACGGGAGGGGGAAGACCCCCTCCTGTACTTTCCCCCTACTCGCGCTACGCTCTCGGGGTGCTGCCTTTGGCAGCACACCATTGACTGTTGAGAAAAAAAAATCTCGGCCCCCTCTTTTAGGAAATCCTGGATCCGCCCCTGGTCAGTGGTATCCAAAAAACATTTATGACGTCAACAATCAGTCCATGGCATTCATAGCCTATATGAGTGCCAACTGAATTTGGTAGGGTTATATAGGGGCAATGCCATTCAATGGTAAATATTAGCGAATATGTATGGTTTGAGAACCCTTAAAATCAACATTTTATATACAAGATATTTTGAATACCTGGTACATTACCGTTCAAGACAGTGACCACAATCTTGTTCAAATTATGTAATGTGGTTTTGCAATTGCACTCATATGATTTGCCAGAAATATGTATGTCAAAAAAGTAGTTGAAATATCTTTATAAATTGATGGAAAGTTCTGTTAGATATATGCATTTTGTCAGTGAAGACATAACATTTCATTCAATCTTTTTGATCCACTGATATATATATTAAAGCAACATTTATCTTCAAGGTGTAACAAAACCATAAAGTGATCCTGGTTAAATACTAAAATGAAAATGGTTTTGATGAATAAATTTGAATTCCAAATGCTATGGAATTGGTATAAATGAAGAAATTCTCAATGAAATTTATAAATGCATATTTTGGTTTGTGTTGTTTCCATTTTTCGGGATACCTATTATAAATAAACGTGTAATTACTTTCGAAAAAAAATCAAAGAATTTCTAACTGGTAAAACTAATTTCCGCAAAAATTTGAAAGATGTAAAAATGTCTTGTAGTCATGAATCATTACAATATTTGGGATAGGTACATATACCTGCACTGGTACTCAAACCATAAATAAATCCTTGAATTACAATAAATATCCGTTGATTTTGAAAGGTTGCTGATACATACAGTACATTCAACCCAAAACTCATGTTAATTGCATTCATAAATAACGACTGTACCCTCAGGCCAGGCAAAAAATATGTGTTTCCTGTAACATGTTTGAAAAATTTAGAGTAGGTAGGCAACAAATTTTGTGGTTTATATAGGAGACTGATCTTGCGTTAACAGTGCTTCTTCGAAAATTGCCTTAAAAAGTTAAGGGTAGGTGCAAAAAATTAGGGTAGGTATGGTTACCAGAAACACAAAATATTTTTTGTTTGGCCTAATGCACATTTACCGGTATACGTATATTTACAGGTATAATGAAACTTGTTTAGCACACTTCCACACTGAATATTTATTTTTCATTCCTTCACACATGATTGATATATATACTGACTATAAAAAATACATAATATTACATTTATACATGACATATGGTGTGGGAAGTTAAGGCTTCAAACTACTTGTGCTTACAGTTACCTTGTTCATATACATGTATCCTAAATTTTGGTGTCTATAAGGAGGCATGGTAGTCTAGTGGTAGGACGCCAGACTCATGACCGAAGGGTGGCGGGTTTGAGTCACGTCATGGCACTGTGTTACAAGTATCTTTGAACAAGATACTTTACTCCGCTTGTTCCAGTCTACTCAGCTGTAAATGAGCATGTGGTTGGGCAGTGCTAGTAAGCTGAATGCCAGCTGTTAGCGCCGAAATGTCAGCACCGAATGTATACCAGGGAGTTGAGAAAGATATTTGCTGGTTGCAAAGGCCACATAACCATGGAAAATAATATGTGAACCGCTTTGATCATGAGATGACCTACGAAATAGCTTGTGATAAAGGAGTGTATAAGAACCTCAAATTATTTATTATTATATGACTTGAAACTTTTTAAACCAAATATAAACAAGCACATTTCAACAAGTAGTATACATTAACTAATACCTAGTTAACAAATAGTTTGTTTTACATGCCTGATTGCCTGTTACTCAAATTACATTGGAAATATTTCATTTTATTCAGTTATGAAAACCAGACACGTGTCTAAGTGGGAATGAAATGGAATCGAAGCCCTGCTAGTCTTCATGTTTGGTTAATTTGATTCATTTGCAACGCTAAAATGATACATCACGTAGCACAGCAATTTTTTACAGGATTTGTTAAATAAATGACCTACTGCAAAAAATTGTGACTTTAATTTATTGTAGATATATGCATCCAGGAGGAAATGATTAAATTATTACTATAATCTATGTCCATTTAGTAAGTTAATTCATAGATATCATCATGAGTTTCATCAGGTAGCTGAGGTAAATTGGGAACTACCTGTATATTCATGTAGCTCAAAATAAAAACAATTATGCCATTTTACACCAAAATTAACTATTTAAAATTAAAACGATTTGGTTGAGTGACAAAACCTATATATTTCAGTTATAAATACTTGCTATGGTTATAGAGAGTCATAGCACTCTGTATTGTAACTCCAACACAGAAGAGCTCGAACTAGCTCAGTGTTTGCCTTCTTCATTTGTATCATATTTTCACAAAAGCACTTTCACCACACTAGAAGGGATTTAATCCCCAGACCTCTTGAATATAAATTAAAGCCTGGAGCCAATCAACAGTGCTACTGGTCATATTTAATATGATGCTAATTATCTGTTTAGTAATTAATACTTACATAATGTATAATGTTTGAAGTAAATACATTTTACATTGTATTAATTCAGGTACCCTCTTCTTAAAATTGACTTTTCCATACATGTGCACATATATATTTATGCTACTTTTATATAAACATATGTAGGGAAAATCCTGGAATTTGAGAGCAGTGGGCAATTTCAGCAATTTTTAGAAAATTGGAACATGGAGAGGTCTATTTCAGTTTTGAGGTGTCAATGGCCCCATGGCCCCTTCCAGGATTATCCCTGCATCTGTGTTGTGTTTATATCAAATGCCCCAAAGAAAAACATATATCAATGTTCTGCATTCTACTCTGATCACCTTTTCATAAATGAGTATTTCAGCTTCAGAATATTTCAATGCTAGGATTCCTCATCATGTATGGATCTGTTAAACACGTGTTTCATCAGAAGTTCATACACTGCATTGTTGATCCCCCAGGTGATAAAGGACCTTGTATAGTTGACATGTACACCACGGAAGAGTTTGCGAACACTGTAGTCTCTTTCCTTAAGCACAACAAAGAACATTTCCCAAAATCCGTAGAACTTACCACCTAAATTCGACTGTAATCGGACCTTAACAACATTCACGGGGTAGCATGCAGTACTGATTGCAGCACCTAGAAAAGCAGCACCAAAAAAGTTTACCGCAATTTGCCCGTATTCAGAGTTTGCCCGAGGATAAGCTTCCATGTAATGATCCCGCATCAGGAAAAAGACGATGTTGCTGGAACAATTTCTGTATAGAACGGCAGACTGTCCGCGGTAGAACTCTTTCAACCCTAACAACCGTACTTCCTTGAAGGCATGAATTGTGTTATTGAATCGGCTGTGATACTTTCGGTCCTGCATAAGAACCTGAACACGTTCAAAAGGCGTCAAAACAGATTCGAAAATCCCAGCCATGATAGCTGCAGATGAACGATTGACAGGTGTCCAAAGATCAGGAAACTCTTGTTTTAATCTTCTCTGTATTTTGTAGTAGGAGCCGAACATAAGCGACATGGAAGTGGTTTTCTGTAGGAGAGGCGGGAGAAATCCCCGATACAGGTTCCGAAGTCCTTCTTTCTTTAGTTGCCCCATGGCCCGCCAGACACGCACACCATACAGCTGCTGGCGAAACATAACTTTGTTGATGGGAAACGTTGTGCTTATGTTGACGAGGGCGGCACCCCAACCACAGACAAACTCGCTTTGGTTGTGTACAAACTGGGGAATGACAAATACGGGATCTTTTCTTGGGTTCGTCATCTCCCCTCTTGGGTTCGTCATCTCCCCTACAGCACGTGCATTCTCACATTCAGTAGCACCGCCATCACTAGCATTACTCAGTTTCATGTTATTTCTGATCCAAACAATAGTACACCACTACACAGCTCCCCCATCGTCATAGACAAGAGTTGATGATAATCCTGCAAAAAAAAAAAAGGCAAACATAAACTCACACTTGATTTGCAGACTTATACCTATGTAAATTAACTTTGGGTTGACGAGAGTCCAGTTCAATTACAATTCTCTCCCTAAACTTTCTGCGATTGGCCCAGTCCAGTTTCGCTAAATTTCTCCCTTCTTTTTTTGAGTATTATTAACTTGCTCTCGAAGAGAACACTTTATTAACATCCCAAGTTTGGATATCAAGCGCAAGTGTGCCAATTAAGCTGATTCACTCACTGCTTGAAACAATTTAGGGTTGGCAAGCTCGCAAATTTCGTAATAGAGTCGAAAAATACCAGCCTGTCTGAGATTCGAACACGAACACCCCTGAACTCTAGAAAGATCTTCCGATTCGATTGAGCTTTAATTTCTGGTCGCTGACAATTCAACGAAGTCTAGTTCCACTACAAATCTTTTTTTTTCCGTTTCTCATATTTATATAACATTTCCTTAGTTCTCAAGTGACTTGGCAGGAATTTTGTTAATTATTTTGTTTCCTTCAAACACAATCTGGTCAATTTTGGTTTTGGAGTTGAATCTTGCAATTGAGCAGTATTTGAATTCAGTATATATATTTTTTAACTAACATTAACAATGATTTCTCTGGCAAATACTAACATGTGTATGCATATAAAAAAGAAATTAAGCAATACATTTTAGCAATAATGCAATAATTTGACAGACTATTATATTTTTTAATAGGTGGAAGTGCAGTGTTTTTAATGCCCTTAACTTTCAACTGTGTGATTTTTTTTTATAAAAATATATTTCATTTCCTTGTTAAGTTGGCATTCCACCTTAAAAGGCACAGGGGTTCGGCTTTCTTTATAATTACAAACGAGCTCCTGTGCTACTCAATAATGTAGATTTCTACTTTGAATTACTCAGTTTCTGGGTTTTGGCTTTTGCCGTGCCCGTCCCCAGTCATAAAGTTAGGTAGTTTAGCATATCATCTATCAAAATATTGATTATTCGGGTATTTTGAATAGACAGACCAGCAAGGACAAAAGTAGTGTCACCCAGAGAAAATATGGCTTATAGGCATACGCCAATAGCATGACTCGTGTTGACCTTGGTACTGATCATGAATCGGATTTGTAAACAAATTGCAGAAAAAATATCAGGGTGCACTCGTTGATAAGGTCATGCAATGCATTTATCTACATGGCATGCATTACTTGAACATTACAGGATACTTACATGTTTGTGCAACCTTGTCAAACCTGATATTTAATTCGGGTTTCTGCAAGGAACACGGGCTGAGGGGAATGGAACAACTTGTCATCGGTGCGTTGGAGCCTAGCTGTAAGACGCCATGTTTACAGTGCATGTGCGCAAGGGAGGTAACTCTGTGTGTCACACACCACAATATATTTTCTGTCCGCAGGTACGTCACGCTACCACAATTGGTACAATTTGGACAGTTTTTTAGTGATATTTTAAAACTCAGATCTTGTATCTGGAATGTTTCTTGACAAAGACTACCAATGGTGATTCATTTTCAGGAAAAGTTTTATATCTAAGTAATTTGTTTTTGAAAATAGAACGCTTTAAACTCGCAGCGAGATTTCGTCCGTTTTTCGGCCGTAATTAATACCAATATTACAGGCTATGAAATTTGTTTTTATTTCTACAAGTTGATGTGCCGATTGCAACAAAATATATTGCTTTTATAGATACCATACTGAACCATAATTGTATATATTCACTTTTATATTACATGTATCCTGTTATAAGGACCAGAAATCAACATTTAAACATGCTTATATTTAACCCCTTCAACATCCTCCACAATTTCGTCGACGCACATCGTTTTTACTAGTTTTCTGATATGTTTACTTTGAATTCATCGTGTACTCTTAAAATGTTCGTGAAAACAAAACTATTCGGCGGAAATGCTGATAAATATATCTTTTGTTACACTGTCAAAGAAAAATGCTCAAATTTTATTTTAAAGTACTGTATTGGAACCATTTTCTGACCGTGTACCAATTTGGGTAGTGTACCAATTGTGGTAGCGTGACGTTAGCCTCGTCTATCAATACACCTGTAATATATCATAGGTGTATTGACAGACAAGGCTAGTACCTGTGCCCTGTCATCCGCTTGTTACATTGAAAGTCGAACAAAGGAATGATACAGGTACCGGTATTTGTATATAAAAATGGATACCCAACATGCCTACTGCTTATTCAATTTCCAATCTTTGCATTAATTTATAACGTTTTTTTCAAATATCAATCAACGCCCTGTCATGTACAAGTGCTGTATACATATATAAAACATACATGTACCAAGTTCTTGAGCAGCAATACATGCAAAACCGATAACACTGGGCAAAATATGAAAACAATATTATTATAAGGAGCTAGAACATTGAACAAGTAACGATCACGTGCTCTGAAAGGTAAACACAACCACAAGGCATTTTAATGCACAATAATTAAAAAAACATCAACCTTCACATCACAAAAATAAATGAAATATTTCCAGTGTGATTCTGATGGCGGCCATAAAACCTGTCATGTACAGTCTTCATTAACTATATCTAAAAAAAAAAAATTGGGAGTACGTATACGTTGTAAGTTTATATAAGTATCCGTCAGCGGTCGCGCACGCGCACGACATCTATCACGGAAGTCATGATCTTGAGTACTGAATCAATTCAAGTGCGACATATAATTAAACACCATATGTAGGGGAAGCACGTGGACGTTGCTATCAAGAAAGGTAAAATTCACTATCGGAAAGTCGTAATCATCCCACTTGTCGTACAGACTATTAGCAGGTCGTTCCTGTGTATCATGTTGTAAGTAAAGATCACAAATAGATATTTTCCAAGGACGCAGAGAAGTGTATTGAGAGCAGACTTCCGAGGGTGATTATTTCAGATGCTCTGAAACGGTAAACATCCCCTCTTCATCGACTACACGTACCCGCACTGTGTAAAACTATAACAAAATTAGTAAGTTTGAAAAAGGCACTGAAAAGTTGAAATAACTTGTGCCAAATTACAGGCTTTACGTTTTAGCGTTAACCCTTTCAACAACTGAAGACCATGATGGACTCATCCCTATCAATTTATGGTAGAGGTTATTAAAGCTACATAGGGGTGAAAGGGCTAATGTAGACAGAAACGCCTACCCTTCCGGAACATCAGGGCCTTTGCCCGTTGTACTTTTTAAAGGGTTTCCACGTAAATTACGGGTTTGTTGACACAATGACTTTTGTATTCTATACAGATTGTTTGAACTAACCATCACAAATGATCACGCGTATTTCGATTTTATCATATTGCACTCGAACCGTTTGATTAATGATTGAGCTTCGCGTAGTACATTTAGAACTGTGTTCGGTCTGTAAATCGATAGACCATTTTTTTTATCTTTTCCAATCCTTATGGTTTAAGTAAAACATCAGAAATGGAAAGTTTTACTTCTTGTTTTATTGTTTATGTTGATCAATCATGATCAATTGCCGTTTTTTAAATCCCCAAGCGCGCGTGCTATAACTCGTCAATCTACTTCAGCTGGAGTTTCAATAAGTTTACTTACTTGCACTCTCTCATCCTCGTTACTCCAGGGCCGTTTTCGTTTAAACGGTTAAATTGTTCAGACCACACTTGTTCGTTTATTAAATAAGGGCGGAACTAGTGATCTGATGCTGCTTTCAAGCGAGCCTCGACAAAGACATGAAGGCCTGCATAAACATTTTCAGGTCAGCCATTTAAACAACGGATCGACAGACAAATCGGTTGTTCCGCATAAACGAACAGACCCCTGGGTATTTGGGTCACTTTCGCTCGAAAGTGAGTGTAACCCCCGGGGTATCGAGGATTGCACTGTCTCAATACTTACGCTATTATTATATTTAATCAGGCCATGTGTTGATTATTTAGCTCGTCGCCGGAAATATTTTCGATGTCATCAGTTCTAAAATCGAATATCAAAAATAATATGCTCGATTTCCCGATGTCAGAAAACGTGATTCCAAAGTATTATTCAAGTGTGACAATTTTTGGGGGGAAAACTACTGTATAGTATTTAGTGTTTGAGGCGATCAAAATATTTTCTCAGTCGAGAAACGCGTTACAAACAATATCAAATAATGTATATGAACATCTAAACGCAGAGCCGATCCGGTCCGTCCGAGTGATAAGATGTGAAGATGTCCCCGTTGAACGTTTACCCATTCGCCCTTAACGTAAATATTTCGAGATGTTCCTGAAAACTTTTCTTATTCAATTCATTTACTATGGTGGGTATTTTACTTTTAAGAAATGTAAATAACTTGTTTTTAAATGGTTTTCGGATGTATGTTGATCAATAAATTTCGCCATGTGAATTTTATGAAGGTATGAAACATGAATACTTTACGATGTATTGACCTTTTTTTGTCAATATGACACTACGTGATGAGATTGTTAACTCCCAAGGCGCGGTGTATAACGCGCTTAGAGACAGGTAAACGCAAATATTTTACCTGTGTTATGCATAAAAACTGTTAATATTACCCCGTTAAATACCAATGAAGTGATACATAAAATGTAAGAAAAAAAATTGCAAAAGAAAAACATTGTGATTTAAAACGATTTCAAGTGGCTGAGCAAATATCACGTAACTGTTATGTAGATTTAGGCGAAGCTGTCTGAACCCTTATTGGAATCCTAAAGTGAATATATGAAAAATCCATGTTTGTAAGAAATCCTTAAAATTTATAAATATATCATTGTACCCCTTCCCCCTCTTCCGCCTACCCAAAACCTTAGATCGTATTGACACTAAACTCCTAATTTATAGGGACAGACATTTTTAGAATAGTTCAAACTTACATAAAGACCAGCAACTGAATTACAGTTTAAGACAAGTTTACTAAGTTAGATATAAGCCTCAGACTATCCAATAAGTGAGAGCAACATCCATAACTGACTGAAAACCAGCTTTGAATATACTAATATTTCTTTCATTATACACTTTTATTACATACTTACTAATAAATACGGGGTTTTTTTTGTATATGCGATACGACACAATTGCTCTTACCCATATATCAGCCCTCGCCGTATCACACCCCAAAAGCCGTATCAGCCCCCGCCGTATCACACCCCAAAACCCGTATGAGCCCGCAAAACCCGTATCACACCCTTTCGGATTTTTTTCTTTTTTCAATATTTCAAAAGAAAAATAGATAATAAGATAGTAGCTTTTGTTAGTAAGTATGTAATAAACAGAATAAAACATGCCTTTTTCCATATCACACCCAGTATCAACCCGAGACTAACGTATTTAGTTCCTTTTATGCCATTACTTTAATTGATATATATGCTGATTGGAGAGGGCTTCGATAATGTTGTTACAACTTATGCACAATTAATTTTTACTTTTGTATGGCAATAACATATGTTTAAACTAAACTCTAGCTGTTAAGACCTTGCATACAGCCATGGCCATGCACAGGTACTCATATGGAAAAATCAACACAGCCGATATTATCGTTTTACATGACAAATCAGTGTTTTGTGATATGCGACAAATGAAAGTATCTCCACTTACTGTAAAGTAAATAATTTTAATTTGAAGATATGTTCAATAATGTTTTTTTAAAGATCTTCGACTGAAACTTTACGTCCTCTTGTGATGTGTCACGACTTGATACTGAATAAAGCCAAGAAGTATTTGGGTTACAAAACAACACCATCAGTTTGACTGACTTGATAAAAAGTTAAAGTTAGACATTATTTATTTACTTTATCTTAGAGGTTAAAACTTTAAAATTAAAGCTGAATGTCAACCCTTTTAACCCCATATAACTTCAGTAGACTCTACCATGCATTGAACTGGACGAATCTAATATGGTCTAACGTGGTAGTGAAAGGGTTAAGTTGATAATTCTGTGTACACCTGAAAAAAGATCCGATCAAGTTCGTCTGAGCAATTTGGCGTGATAGATATAATTTGACCTTTTGTAAACAGATGTAAGGACGTGTAAGCCAAATTTCCCACATGTGTGATTTTGGTGAATGTTCGCATCCCTGGATGCACCACTAAGTATCTTGTACCTGATTTTACCTGTATGTATTTGTCATTCATAAAGCAGTACTTTCAATGTCCGCAATCAGCGGGCCAAGCGCCCTGAGCATACAACCATAGGTGGGAATAAAGAAAGGCCTGATACTCTTAGAGGTATATTAGAAGCTAAAATTGTAGATAAAGAACCATCGACAACAAATCTGATAAAAATCTGATATGACAAGTATATATATATAAATCTTCTGTAAGGGAGACTATATACCGTGTAAATCTTTTGTGAGTGAATGTATAATAATCTTCTGTGAGGGAGTATATATTAATATTTTGTGAGCGGATATTTATATAAATCTTCTGTGAGGGAATATATATATATAAATCCTCTGAGAGGGAACATATATATGTAATTCTTCTGTGATTTGGTATATATAATCCTTCTATGAAACAATTTATATATAAATCTTCTGTGAAGGAGTATATATATATAAATCTGCTGTAAGCAGCGGGTATATTTCGTATATAACTACTATAAGCGACTATAAAAATGGTTTGTAAGTGAATATATATATAAAAATGTTCTGAGTGAGTATATAGATATTTTATAAGTGGATATATATATAAATGTTATGTGAGTGGGTATATATAAATCTTCTGTGAGTGGATATATATAAATGTTCCGAGTGAGTATATACATGTTTTGTTAGTGGATATATACAAATGTTCTGTGAAGGAGTATATATATAAATCTTTTGTAAGTGGGAATGCTTCGTATATATATATGTATCTACATTAAGCGGATATATAAACTAGTATATATAAATTCTTCTTTGAGGGGATATATATAAATGTTCTGAGTTGGTATATATAAATCCTCTGTGAATGGATGTATATAAATGGTATGTCAGTGGGAATATGCCAATTTTCTGTGAGCAGAAATTTATATATCTTCTATGGGTGGGTATATATAATTCTTCTGTTGACGGTAAATAATGTATACATTTTTTTGTGTGCGGGTTGTATATATATAATCTGTGAGCGGGTATTTGAACTTCAGTCATAACACTTCTTGAAAACTCTCAATTTGACGATTCTTCAAAACACAATCATTAGACATAGATATTTAACTGAAGTGTTACTTTATCGGTTACAATACGTCACTTTCCTTTTTGTTGCATTAAATCCATGCATATAACGTCAGGTAAGCACACCACAAGGTAAATGAACTCAACGACAAATGTCACAATACACAATTGAAATACTGTTTCAAAGTTCAGCATGTAAGAGCGACACTAAAGTCACGGTTTAACACTGCATTGTTAAGGTACAGCGTACAAGTAACCAAACAGGAAGTGATTAGAAAAAGTTCATAACAATATGCATTTGGCACCACCGGTATCGATAACTGAACTGCTTCAGAGAGCTATACTGTTGCTCATAGACGGCTGACCACTGTAGTACCTTACTATTCGCCATGGTGTGTTTTGATATAGGAAATGAGTATTTCGTAACCCTCACATTGGTAGGATTTTCACGATTAATGTCAATTTAAATTGAAATATATTTATTTAATTTGTTTTGTCTATTTCTAAATAAAAAGAGTAATATTTGATCACATATGAACTCAATGAGAAAACTGATATCTTAAACAAACATAATAACATTTATTGTATTTTCATTTTGGCGGAACCTGTACATGTGTTGAGATACCACCTGCGATAAGAGGCCACATTTCTAAACATTTTCTTCAGTTTGATAAGTATGGATTGTGAAAAGATTCATATAGCACAACAAAAAAGTGTTTACATGTGACTTTTTGATGACTACAGTAGTACGGTATGTACTCTGTAACCTTCATCAGACAAATGACCAATCATTCCAAGAATCTGGCTCATCTATGACTAATTAGTATTAAACAAAGCGTAGCTGAATCTAGTCATTTCGATACATATATAACAACTAATTGTACATTCGCTTACAACGTAGCCGAATCGACATCAATTTGTGGACAACTCGTACGAACTTTACACCGTTGTGTACATACGCTTCACTGATCATTTGTCTGATGAAGTACATACCGTACTAGTCATCGAAATGTCACACATAACATTTTGTTGGTTGTGCTACATGAAACTTTTCACAAGCCACATGCAATAAATGGCAACTCCATGGACCTCCCGAGAGTGGTTTCTGTTTACAAGGTTGACTATTCATGTACCACAGACAATAATGGTATTATTTTATTGACTGGGTAAGTGACCATCGGCCTGAACTCTTGATATCTGTACTCACGAAATTATTTTGGATGGTCCATCAAAACTACAAGTGACTCCTCAATTCTTTCGCTGTATTCAAAATATGATCCGAAACACTCTTGAAGTGAAATTTTCATTCTCTTTGCCTTTAGTACTACTGATGAGTCATACAAAGACGAAGCTGCTTTCTGCATCTAGAAGGAAGGTTTTCAAATGAATGTTTAACTATTTCGTATATCTTGTGAATGGGTTATTTAATTCTTTATTATTCACATTATTTACATAATAATTATGACATGGAAAAAGCATACATTCACATGCTCACACACATACACAAACTTTCTCATTGTATTTATTTTTCCTCTTTGCCGTCATATCATGTGAAAGTTTTAGTGATTTACCATTTTCTCTTCGCATAAGTATTGAAAGTCTCATTAAAATGATCAATTTGTTTAAAAACAAAATTAAATGAGTACATCATTTTCCAGACCGGAAAATACCCATGATTCTCTTTATACCTTAACTGTTAATAAATATATTATATATCAAATCAATCGTAATAAAACATGACATATCTACTGATAGTGCTGAGCGATAGACTGTAATGTATAATACATATATATTGATGGATATTGGTAGAAAATAATTTAACATGATTCGTTCATCACGCCGTTGGACAAAATACGATGATTCGTTCAGGTGGAAGGATTCGATGTCCGTTGATGTGTTAACACATAAATAGAATCGTCTATATAAATGACGTACATATATATCAATACGTAAATAAAAGTTGAAAATAATATTCTTTACTGCCAAAATTACTCACTTTGATTTCATGCAAGGTATGGCGACGGATGTTGTGTATCTTTCTGTGCTGTGTCTTTGTGTCCTAAAAGGTAAGGAAAATATTACTATATAGAATATACCAATAGTAGACAATGTAAGTCTATCAGTGTACTTTGATATAATAAAACAGGTTGTAACGCAAGCATTCCTTAGGAATTATAACGCAGCGATAAAGACCATCTCTTTACCTTTCTCTGCAATAAGGGTCGTTTGTTATAAAGCATTTTTCAAGATTATTCATGTTTGTAATGTGGGTAATTTTTGGTTAAGTCAGTTTGTATGCGAGTTTGTGTAGGGGTTGGTTTTGGTTTTATGTTGTTTAATGTCTTAAGCTTATTAACTGTTAAGGACGTTGGTTTGTGTACATTGCTTTTGTTACGAAGAATGTTTTGTTATCATATTTCGTTTTTCTGAAGAAGATTATACATGTTTCTGATACAAGTACTTTCTGATGGAGTCAGTGTGTGTTTTTATCTGTTGAATTGTGCTTTAGTTGCAAACAACGGGTTGTATGTTATAAACCAATTTTCTGAAGAAGATTATACATATTTCTAATACGGTTGTTTCTTCCGATTGAATCTGTTTGTACGTGAGTCTGTGTGTGTTTGTCTGTTGAATTGTGCTTTAATTGCGAATAATGGGTTGTTAAAACATTTTTCGGAAGAAGATAATACATATTTCTAATACGGACACTTTCTGATCGAGTCTGTTTGTACGTGAGTTTGTTTGTGGGTTTGTCTGATGAATTATGCCTTCGTTGCGCAGAATGTTTTGTTATCAATATTTTTTTCCTGAATATGATTGTTCATGTTTCTGATACAATTACTCTCTGATTGAGTCTGTGTGTGTTTGTCTATTTAATTGTGCTTTTATTGTGAAGAATGTGTTATCATTTTTTTTTCTGAAGAATATTATACATTTTTCTAATATGGACACTTTCCGACTGAGTTAATGAAATGAGACTTTTCTGTGGGGTTGTCTGCTTAATTGTGCTTTCGTTGCGCGCGAAGAATATTTTTGTATCAAATATTTTTTTCCTGAAGAAGATTATACATGTTTCTGATGCAAGTACTTTCTGATTGAGTCTGTATGTGTGTTTGTCTGTTTAATTGGGCTTTCGTTGCAAACAATGGGTTGTTATAAATTAAACTCATTTTTTTTTCCGAATAATATTATATTTCTGATTGAGTCCGTGAGCATTTATGAGAGTGTCTGTTTAGTTATGCTTTCGGTATGAAGTAAAATAAACTACACTACGGACTGAGAGTTTGTAACACAATCTAAATGTTTCGTTTGAAGTTTCTTCTTGAACACTGTAATGTATCCATACAATAGACACATACTGGATGAACAATTCAATTACGAAACATAAAAGTTGCAGCGTAATACAAATTGGCAGATTTTATCTAAATCAACTTCTGTAGGTCCAATCACATGTGTTTGTTAAACGTTTACTTTTAGTAGAATAAAATTTCCTTAAAGCTCTATTGTCAAACATTTAGAGAATAACAAATAATTTTGTTTATAGAATTGTACCACATGTGAATATGATTCAGTCTAAATTCTAATAAACTAGTTCTGCAAAACCCCAAAATATCCGTTTCACGCCCTTGTAGATTTGTGTTTACATGTAAACATATTTTGATCTTCAGTTACCTCACAATCCTGTGGCACAAAGACTGTTGGGAATGCCTCGCCTGGCAGCTTCCAAGACAACCTGGATACTGTTGCTACGGGTAAGAAATTACAAAAAAAGCGTGTAAAACCAACGTATATATATATATAGATTCAACAATGAACAAAGATATTTTTAAAAGTCCTCGATGAAAATGGATACTATACCAGAGGCGTCAAAACTTATTAAATATTATACAATATCAAAACAGTAAAAAACCAGCGAGTATATTTTGTTTCTTCGTTTTTCTTCTATTTTTTTCTAAAAAAATCCTTTTTTTTTTCAATTAAGTACATGTATGATTTGTGTTTCGGTTCACTTCTATATTTCAATGGACTATTCATAATTTGCTATTCTTCCACATTTTCTATGACCTTAAAAAGGATTTTTCATTTAGAGGAATTTTTTTTAGAGTGGGCAAAAATAATTTTTGGTCTCTGCTTTTCTCATTAATTATGGTTCACGTAAATTTTGTTATATTTGAGAGGAAATATCGGTAACTTCATTTATGTTTTTCATAATTGATGGTATGACGGAGCACACTTTAATACGTCATATATTTTTCTAATTACTGTTTCTTTGTGAATGTATTCAGATTGATTTACAGCCAATATGTCTTTTTATATAAAATATACTTTATCAGTATTCACGTCTACCTTACATATTAAGAATAACTCATCACAAGCACAATTGACAAGATTGCTCGGGACATTAAGTGGATCAAATTATTTTTAGGCAAATGATTTTTAAAACAAGATCTGTTAATAAACCACCCTGTTTATTTATTTTTATTCATATAAAAAAAAATAAGGACAAAATACAATAAAAGAAAATATTTAGAAATTCATATTGCGCACTATTATATAAGCATATATAGCCACATCATAATATCATGTTAATATACACCAATATAAACTGAATACATGAATAATTATTGTGTAAAATTGCGAGAACTAGTGGGTATTCTCATACTTAACAGGGCACATTTTAGACTTGAGTTTCGACAAAATATTTTATTTCATTAAAATCAGCGGTATATATGACTACTGAATAACAAATAGACGATTCATAAGCTTGTTTGTTTTGTCGCCTTGAGGTTAGGCACAAAGGTACAGGATTATATCATGGACAAATATGGCGTTTAAAATTTTGTGAACACAAAGAAATAATTGAAGAATTCAAAAACTGAAAAGTTGTCTGAAATTATGATTTATAATGGTTGAAATATAATGTACAAGGCTACGAATATTGGGTGTTTAGATCAATACACAGTTGAATGTTAGGATATGACATTGACTTTGAAATTCACATTTAAGTTAATACGGTGTCGTTATATTGTTAATAAACTCAGCTTTTATGGCTCTATGAATTATACCAAATTCTATTCATAACATATTACCTAACTTTGTTTACATATGTGTTGGATGAAAAATATTAAATTTTCTTCATGGAAATCTTTACCCACATTTTCAATTTTATTGCAAAACGTGATTTGGTTATAATTTACCATGTACTGAGAACACGAGTCATTCGCTATTTTTTAACAAAGCTAGATTTATATAAATGGCACAATATTGATGAAACAGATTACTTTTATTTGAGTTATATGAAAAGTTTATTATTAAAGCCTTCTGTTTTATAAGGCATTTATGATCCAACAGTAAGTAGATTGTTTTACATAAGCTTGTTGCCAAACCTTTTTGCATATTTGTTTTAGTTAAATTAGTTCTATCATATTATAGAAATATAATTTTAAACTTAATAAAAAATCATCATCAACCCTATGAAACATCAGGTTTATTATTAATAAAATTGCATGATAAATACCATTTAATAAAAATATAACGGCCGCAGTTGCCAAGTGGATAAGGCGTCTGACAGTCTGCCACCACTCGCCATCCACGACTGGGTCACGTGTTCGAGACCTACGTGGGGCTGTCGACAGGTACTGGACGTAGGTTGTTGGTTTATCTCCGGGAACTTAGACTTTTCTCCACCACCTGGCACGTCCTCAAATGACATAAGCTGTTAATAGGACGTAAAACACGACCAAACCAAATAATCAAAACATCATAACCAATACCATGCATGTGTCCTCCTCATGTATTTGATTATTCAACCACATTGTATTATCAACATTTCGTAATTTTTAAATGACGACTGACTTACAGTTGTTAAGTTACTTAGTAATTACTCATCGTCATAATATATGATGAGCGTTTGAGTAAGGATGCTTTTCATTGGCATTCTTGATAAGGTTTACAAAGGTGATAAACGTTTGATTTTGGATTTAATCAATGAAAGATTTTCAATGTTTGTTAAATAAGAACTATGGATATATTTCAGGAATCGGGTATCTAGCCAGCAACTACGCGTTTGACTGCTGTGGAGTAATTGACAAATGGCAAGTTGTCATCGGTGCTCTTGGCACAATCAAATTCCAAATATGGCGGCCAAATGGAGCCAATTACGACCTTGTAAGCGAGAATACCTACACTTTTAGCACAGGTAAGTAATGTTGAATCTTATTTACTCATATGTTCATATGTATTTGTACACATACACACAAGTACTACAAATAGCTCGTTTTAGCTTTTACAGAAAACTATTTTCTCCAAAGCTTAATTCAAAGCATTCACGTTGTCCTGGAGAAAAACATAATATATAATCTCTCCGTACCGTTAGGGGGTTTTGGCAAAAAAATCTCAATCCAATGGCTGATATTCCTGATTGCCTATCCTGAAGATTATTTCAATTTGAGAGCTCAACGTTCAAGAATCGCACCCGAGGAGCTAATTATTTTTCTACCAATCTGTCAATAATATGTTTGAAATAAATGTTTATCAGCAGTTAAAATATGTGTTTTTATTCTAATATGCAAATATATCTCCTGTCGGAAGATGCTTGTGACGTCATGTCATATTTTAACGTCGTGGGGGGGGGGGGGGGGGGGGGGGGCGGGGGAGGTTACACAGTTATCTTGAACAGATGTAGCTAGAGCCATTTCAGTGAATGGTTTAAGAAAAGTATGTCTATTTAAAGACAGCTTCAAATCGGGTTTTTTCTTTAAAAGTCTCTACTTCATAATAGGATCGCGTCATCAATTGTGTCACTTATTTCTTATGTCAGTGCATGTTGACGGTGCTTTAACAATTTACAGCTTTCTAGTGGTAGGAACGTGTATGATTAAAAGCAGACAGCAAAACATCAGCCCTCGGGATTTTTGAAGATTTGCTCTCAGCAAAACCTCGTGCGCAATTTCCTAGAATTTAATGGTACCTTGAAAATGGTGCGATGCATTAGGTTCATCATTCAACCTATTTTTACGGTATCTAGGAAAGTGTAGGAGAAAAAGAATCGATCACTCCTGTGTGCAGCAGACAGAGACATTTTAACCATCGGGATAAGAGTTTTGAATTTTAGCATTCGACAAAGCCTTGAGATGGGATTTATTTGTTTTTATTACACAAAAATGATAGATTCTATTAGTCTACTTTTTTTGTAACGTTCCATGGTAATTAATGTATTTGTTCAAAGCACGTGTTAATGATTGGAAGACAGGACTGATTGTGAGTATCATTAGGTAAATGACCACACCTCGTATACATTGTATATGACTGTTTTTTGTGGCACACAGCTGACCAACTGGTGGAGCAGACATTGAATGTGGGAGATGGATCGAGACTCACTGTAATACCAAATGACGTCATGGGATGGTAATTGTTTATTATTTGTTTTGATCATTTAATCAATGATACTCACATAACCTCAAGTAGGTTGAAGAAAGATAATTTAAATTCAGTTGAAGATTTTTTTGTTCAAACAAATGTTTGTTATGAAATCTACCAAAGCTTGTTATGTTGAAATGGTTTATCCATGATTTTTTTACATCATTCGACATAATTTGTTATAACCATGAAAACACAAACATTATTGGACATGGCATAGTTCAAATAATTTGACATTATGTATAATTCTGCGATAGAATCATGGTCAATCGTGTTAAGCTCCTCCCATCGCACTTGAGCCACGCCCGGTTTCTAACCAAAACAATATGGCGTCAAGTTCGCCTCATAGCGAAATCCCGCTGATAAGGCTAGTAGGCAACAGAACAGAAACGACCGATGAAATGCATTTGTTGAATGAATTAAAAAGTAAAAAGAACGCATTCCTTGTTCTTACCTCCATTTATTACATTTTAAACGTTCGTTCCATCCGTGTAAAGGCATCTATTTAGATCCGAAATCAAATCAAACATTTCACATGTGTCGTATGCATTTACACAAAACTCTTCAAAAATCTATACAAATAATCACCGATTNCGAACAATCCAAATATTCCGCCTCGTCAACATACAGATCGAGCTCTCGCCAGTATGGGCGGGGCTAAATGACCGACTTTTGAAAGCTTCTTTCCGATTGGTCAGTCCGCTGCAGAATGACACGTCGCCAGTTCAGGTCACAAAGTACTTTTGTACAAGGAAATACAATGTTTCTAAACATATTAGCGTAGTATATTTGTTAAGGTGTGTTAGAATGGGGATAGTACGTTGTTTTTCGTGTCTATACTGGCGATTAGAACATGAAATTTGGTTTAAACTCTCGACCTATCGGTCTCGAGTTCAAACACAAATTTCATGTTCTAATCGCCAGTATAGCCACTCAAAACAACGTACTATCCCCTAAATTAACAGCGTGAAAAAGACCTTAAAATTGAAAACTTACTACCCTGGATCCGATAAATTATGCGAAAGACTTTGGTACAAATGTTAAAGCATGATTTCACCTATACTTCACTGAATATTCCCTAATTTAAGCCATAGGTGATTCGTTTGTGAAACCCTTCCAAGACAAGCTACACATAACTTCTGAAATATAAAGGGTTTTACTTGTGACATCAAAATGAAAACAATTAAATGATGTCACTTTGTATAGACAGACCATTGCCTCTTTTACTGAGCTCTCTCTCTGCCTCAATAAAAATCGAGGAAATATTCTATTATTCTTTTACCTTTGACAAGCTTTCATTACTCATTTACAGGTACACTGCTGGTAAAGACATGATACCTTACAATTCAGTGTCCGTAACTGGTGCAGTACAGCTTACGATGACAGCGCCTTCTATCGGCGCTACTAAGAACTGGGCAGGGGGAACAACTCTCGGTTCCCGAACATATGCAATTAATGCTCTAACATCCGGTAGTGAGTATGCTGATTATTATGCTAATATATTTCCTCGATCACTTTTCCTTGCTCGGTTTCACACCCAGACAGACCACGAAACTCTTACATGCATGGTTGCTTCGAATAAACATAAAACCTTTGAAACCTTTGAATAATTATACACAACATTAGAAAATTGGAAATTGATAGATAACGTAAATGAACCTTTAATTACAAACAATTGTAGAAGGATATAAAATGAGTATGTATCCTATGTATTGTTTAATGAAATAGCCTCAAATATTTTAAAGGAATTTCAACAGCTGGAATGCAGTATGAAATGCTTCCTGCACAAATAAATGAACAGCGTATTCATATTCTGATCGTTTTCTCTTTATTTATAGATTCCAGTCCGACGTTTACAAACCTTGACCAGACCCTGACTTACGCAGACACAGACACCCCGCCCACTACACTCCTAACACTGACCTACAACGACGTGGATCCTCAAGATACCGTACTCACCGTCGCCATGACGACAACGTCAAACGAGTTTCAAATAAATGCACTAGGTAGGTAAACCTTAATCACATTATCACGTAAGAATATTTACGCTTACGAATTATTTACCAATCCATGAAAGAGCAACTGTCGCCCGGTATAATGAGTATAAGTTATCATGTAGCACAATTAAAATTCGATATGATGCCCTCGTGTCATTTGCCACTTCTTTTACTGACATCATATTTTTTTTTTCTTACAAATTGTTATACAATTTATCACGAAACCCATTTATAACGCCAAAATGTCTCTGGACAAATGATGGCATTATAACGAAGTTTTTACTGTACTAAATACATCTTCTCTCATAATGATCTCGGTCTAAATCTTCAGTCACGTGTATACTGACAGTGATGCTATTGAAACTGGTTTTGCAAAACTCCCAGCGTCATAACCCTTAACGTGGTGATTTGAAGATGAAAACTCCTCATCTTTTCTAATCCATTCTAAGTTATGTCGCGAAAATGCTGTACAACACACATTGTAAGACTTCTCCGTTCTAGAGAATATTCAATCCACGGCGTGATGTCATAATTCAAGTGTGGTATGGCAAAGTATTGTGATGACCTACTTGTATCACGTGATATTATTCCACACAATGTATTCGAACACGTTCTATTTGTCAGATCAAGTGCAGCCCCAGACTGGGCAGTGGACGGTTGGAACGTACCCTTTGACCTTTACTGTAACTGACCAGTGCGGTAATGTTGTAACCGGAACCCTCACCGTGGAGATCACCAACACTGTGAGTGCACATCATTTCATGACGACACAATCACGATATGGTGACGTCACTACTCAAATACTTACAATTATGATAACAACGATATGCTATGAAAGAATTATTCATTTTTTAAAGGTCATTGACAGTTATATTAACAACCTATTTAAGGTAGTTTTTTTAAATATTTGATTTCAGGCGCCAGATATGACAGCAATGGCTACGTCGGCGAGTGTGAAGGAAGACGTGGTTGTCGAGACGCACTTGACAGACCTGATTGTGACAGACTTCCAGACGTACACGTGTACCTACACCGGCCCGAATCCATTCAATGTTCAGCCGAAAACAGCAGGGAGTACAAGTTAGTATGTTTGTATATTTCATATCAGCATCGTTTACCCGTGAAAGGTTATGTTACCGTTCCTTTATGTTCAGGGCCCGTATTCATGAAACCGTTCTCATGCTCAAGCATGGATTCTGTGGTCAAACCAGCTTTCTCGCAACCCATCTAAATCATGTCAATGATAAAAAAGTCAAATTTAATAATTGAAAACAGTATTCGGCTTCAAGTTTCTGCAATTTTTCTCCAAAATAAGATTTTTTAAATAATTTATGACTGGAACAAGAAATTTGATTTGAGCACAAAATCCATGCTTGAGCATGAGAACGGTTTGATGAATACGGGCCCTGATGTCAACTCCTGTTCCTGTTGTTGGACTTTTTGTACCGACTTTGCGTTACAAAAGTGCCATCAATAAGGTTTATCGTTTTGTTTTTAATATTCTATCAGGCCATTTATTTAGATTGTATATAGATGAATCTGTATACAGATGTTGTAATGTAATTAAATATCTAATGAACGTGGACTCGCTTTACCTAATAAAGAATATGGGAGTTGTATCGAAGTTTTACTTTCTGCATAAACAATGTACTGAGTCAGTTATAGCTTGACAAAGGAACCAGTCGGTCTTTCAACGTTGCGACACGTTTAATACATACATTGTTTATGCAGAAAGTAAAACTTTGATATCACATATTTCCAAACTGATGAATCTCATTGAAGATAGTATGAGTGCTATTTTCCCATAACCGTTTCAGTTGGCGTATGGGTATTTCACTTTTCGCTAGACCCTTTGAGTTTTATTCTCGATAAACTTCAACAGAACAGGTTGCAATAAATATATATGAGGTACCTGCCTAATCCTTCATTTTCAGTTTCCAAGAACAACTTGCTTTGCTTCTATTCTATCTGTGAAAAATAGTGATACCTCCTACTTATATTTTCTGTTCTATATCTTGACATTAATCTATCTGATCTCCAAACACTGTGACAAACAATATTTCTATAATTTCATCATCATTAACGGCCCTTTCATCTGTAGCAACATACCGCACCTACAATGTACCGACGGGATGCTGTGCTGGGTGCATTCGGCATTGTTTTTCAGTGAGATAGCACTATAAAAACGGCATCAGATCTGCGTTACCACAAGGAGGCAAATACACCAACATGCCCTGACTCCAGCACACATACACACATACACAAGTGTACGTACACACGACACACATGGACCCACGTCTTTAAATGACCTTAGCAGTTGAAAGGAGTTTAACCCTGATAACCAACCAACCGAATCTCCGGACTAAATAAAGCGCAGGCTCTTAATATCAAGAACGCCGTTCCATATAGACGAGAAAAAGTGTATTCATTTTGTTGACAAATATACCTATGAACTAAATAAGCATACATAATCACTCACACATCGCTCACATTATGAAATAATGGAAATACGATTATGAAATATGATGAATGATTATAATGTTTAAAATTATATTATTTTTATACTTGCATTCATAAAGACTTACCAGGATCATCCAGAGTAAGAAGTGACTGGGTCATGCTCTCGACGGTTAACGTTCGGTGTGCCGCCGTCGAGAGGTTAAGTCAGAGTAAAGTAGGGAGACGGCATTGACTAGGATATGGACGGGTGGCCGTGCTGCACGTGCACATACTCACATTCATGAACACTGGCATAACGCGCGATGATTTGAATGTTGTATTTGCAGACCTGGCTGTATACTCCCCCACATTGTTAAATGTCTCCTGGCATTTCTCATACATGTATTACCCAGAATATACACTTATAAAGGGTTATTAGTAGAGACAAACGTGGTTCTCATTGGTAAACAAATTCATTTACTGAGCGTATATATCGTTCATAGAAAAAACATATCCTCTAGAATTTTGTCAGGAACATACAAAAAGTCAAGACTTTTATCAATTAAATCGATTTCATTTTGATTTTTCAAATAACTTTGTCAATTGTTGAATTCAATTGTTATGAACGCCAACATTGTGATTGTATTGTCATGCAACTCACATTTTATGAGGTTTATAAATGGTTTCATCAACCTAGTAGGCAATATTACTCTATATATTGCAGACTTAACGATTCCAATCGTGATATAATTTAATAAGGCTTCTGTTTTCTCTTCTGGAGTGGATACATATTAGTACAAAAGAAGTAAAAACATGTTAAGATAGTAGTTTGATTTAAAATTACATATTTTAACAGTTTACCATAGTAATTCAATCGTAGAATTTTCCGAAGTGGTTTCATGATGTAACGCTGTATATAATTGCCATATAATGCCACACGGTTTTACTCAAATGCCACACCGTATATAATTGTCGAAGAGGCCGCGTAGTTATAAAATACCATATATTAAATGTACATACCATGAAATTTGACACTTATTGTCATTTCTCACAATATAATTTTAATACAGTATCAAGTTGTAGGTGTTTATCATACAATGTATGGGGATATATAATTATCATACGCGGTAGGCAAATACTTTTCAATAACTAATGCTATCATACACATCGATACAGTAGATAATCGTCGACTAATAATACTCGCTATAAAACTTTCGTTAGATTTCACACGGTGAATGTAGTACATTGTTGCCATCTGATACCAATTAGTTCATGATATTTAAATGTCATACAGTAAATAATTGTCATAAACTGCAGCGCAAATGTGATTTTCATACAATACACCGCGGTTTTTAATTGTGATACAATACCACAAGGTATGAATTACTGAATACTGGAATATTTTCGCCGCATTTTAAATTACGCCTTTTTCGTCCTCATTAAAAAAGGGCAAACGAATATTTGTTCACAGCATGGCATAGTTAGAAATATCATGTAAAGAACAAAAGTAACACTTGCAAAATATAGACTTAACCGGCGAAGACGAAATTAAGCTTTGCGAAAATTTGCCAGTGTACAAGTATGACAAAAAGTATCATAAAATTCATAATTATTGAAATAATATTTTCCATGATTGCTTTTCAGTCTATGCATTGTTCCTTAACGGGGAGGCAAACTTAAAATACAACACTAAGAATCAATACACGCTCACCATCACGTGCACAGATGACCTTGGTGTGTCCTCCACCAAGGACGTAGTAGTCAGTATTACAGAAAATGCACCACCGTCCATGGATAATCTCCCAAGTAAGTATTTGTTATGGTGTGAAGTTAAGTTCACCTGATGTTGCTAACACTTTCTTATATTATTTAATCGGTAATCAAATACTTACTCCGATGTTCAACTCTGATCCATATAAATGTTAGGTATTCCGAGCTTGCATATTAATTCTAAAACTCGTGCAAGTTCGGGGAAATAAAAGGCATGCTATATCCCACTGCATGATCGTTAGGGGCGACTAATGAAGGTGCATGCATAGTCGGGTTTGGGTTCTTCCTTATCTTCTTTTAAGAGAACATTTAAGAGACCAAAGCTAATCTGCTTCCCATTTGAACACTTGGGATCTTTTTCGTTCCCTATCTTTCCTGTCCTTTTCTACCTACTTTCTCTTCCTAAACAAAAACAAAAACAAACAAGCGAAAAAAGTTATAAATGTAGGAAGCTCTGCATGAGTCTTGCTTGGGGTTTGAAAATAAATTGATCATAGGAACGGTTTCGAATTGATAAGAAAGTATTAATGTATAAATCGGTAGAGGGTACAGTTAATAAAATTAGAAAAGTGCAAATTGGATCGATAATCATTATACAGAAAAGTATTGCTATAATTTCAAGCATTCGCTAGGAACATATATAACTGATGTCTAGTAATGAGTATACTATATTATTACTAATCAAATATATAAAACAATATGGTATAGATAAACCACCTACCTACGGCCAGTACATGGCGACTGCTACATTGTACCACTAGCCCTCCACCACTGGGTCGCGGGTTAGAGACCTACCTTGGGCAGTCGCCAGATACTGGCCGTAGGTCGGTAGTTTTTCTTCGGGAACTCCGGCTTTCGTCCAGCACTAACACATGGTAGTCCTTAAATGACCATAGCTGTTTATAGGACGTCAAACACAAACAAAACAAGCAAAACTATTAATGAAAGGGCTTTCTGTTGTTTTAATGTTCTTCTTATCCTGATGTTGTCTTCGGTGATGACAGAGCTGGATGTTCTATGACGTCACATATATAATCTATACTAAATAGGACAGCCAATAAAAACATTGCCATCGCGAACATTTTAGCACCGCAATCTGTTTAAAGAGTTCCAAATCATACGTTTTCACATGAAAGAAAATCCATTTTTACAGTGTAACATTAACTACATGAAATATATCTGATATGCAATAAAGATAATTTCGTACATCAAATGCCATGAATATCTTGCTGTAGATCCGGTAGACGTGGACACACTGACCACCACGACAGGAACACAGATATTCGCAATCAATGGAGCGGACACCGATTCCACAAATCTATTTTACAACATGACGTGTTCTCCTGCCAACTGTCCGTTCCAAGTCCTCAACTGTGAGTATAAAACGCGTTATTCACAAATGTATAACATTGAAACATTTTAATCGAGTAACTTTGTAAACGGACACACAGAATAACCAACCTATACAGGGTACTATTGTAATAGCTAAGGTATATGAAGGGAAGCTACTGACTTACTGGCAAGCTGGCTTTTACAATGATGCGGTATAACCCGGGGACCCGCTCACTAGTTCAGCAACGTCGAGCGTGGTCAGTAGTTGGATGGGTGACCGCCGGCAAGTTACATTTGGTGGCAGCGGTGGGACATGGAGTGAATATGTAAGGCCAGTTCCCGAAGGTGCATTATTACACAATGAGGACCTACGGGATTCCCCAGGCCAAGTCTCGGGACGAGACTTTTCGGAGGAGGGAATAGTTTAACAGCTAAGGTTAATGAGGGGAAACTACTGCTTTACTTGCAAGCTAGCTTTTTCAGTGATGCGGTATAACCCGGGGACCCACTCACTAGTTCAGCAACGTCGAGCGTCGTCAGTAGTTGGATGGGTGACTGCTCGCACGTTTCACACAAATATAGTGAAATGTGCCCTGTAAAGCATGTTTTTAAACATTTGGAGACTGAGATAACTCTGTTGTTACATGTATACGTACAATCTGAAGTTCTGAAATACAACATGGACACCTTAGACTTACGACAAAGTAATATGGTTCATATTGATCCCCAAGTTGGAAAGGAACACAGCAAAAATCTGAAGAAGATATGTACAGAATATTTAGTTTAACATATATGCCAAATGATAGATTCATTCATTAATTACTAAGAGTTATTATAATCCATACAATAGAACGCTTATGATAATAATGTTAATATCTATAGCAATTGAAAGTTTGTATAATTTCAAACACAAATTCTTTTATAAGTGAAACACTTCTTGTCAATTTAACAACATATTTATGCTATAAATGTTTTGTTTGTGTAAAAGCTGGTTCGATTGTGGCAACAGAGGATTTGAATTTGCATAAGACAGCTGCCTACGACCTTAATGTGTGGATATACGATAAATGGTCGCTAGTCGGACCCGAAACTCTGAGCGTCACACTTACAAGTAAGTATCACTGGCACATTATGTTATCACGAACGTTTACCTGTTAGAAAAGTAGTGATACAGACTGTTGAGGATTCCCGTAATAATATTAATAGTAATAATAATTCGAGGTTCTTATATACCACTCTATTTCCACCTAGTTCGTAGGTCGTCTCAAAGCGATTCAAAAATTATCATCCCTGATTTTTGGGTCTTTACAACCAGCCGAAATCTTTATCAACTCGCTGGGGAGCATACAGCCGGTCAGCTGCCATATCGGCGCTCACAGCTAGAATTCAACAATTCAAGCACTGCCCTAAACACGTACTCCTTTACAGCTGAGTAGACTGGAATAAGCGGAGTAAAGTATCTTGCTCAAAGATACAACACATGCAGTGACGTGCCGCGACTCGAACCCGCAACCCTTCGGTCACGAGCCCGGAGTCCTACTACTAGGCTACCATGCCTCTGTACCACTGTCGAGAACTAAAACTGTGAAGTGGACTCTGTTTGTTGAATAACATTGGCCGTAATAAATCCTTTCTGAAAAGAAACGAATAACTTGCGGGACGTTCATTGGATAAAAAACGAACAAACAAATAAAGATGAGATAGACAGGGAAGTGTATGAACAAATGGTTTTAGAGAGATTAATACTTGCTTTCGAAACTTGGACATCTGATCACAAAACCGTGGCCCTAACCAACTGTGCTACTAATCAGCCGTAATTTCATGAAAAGGGTCGGTATTCATGAAACTCTGATTCTGTCCTTAATATCATCTTCAATTGTAACGTCACAATGCTACCTGCAGCTCGCGACAATTTACAAATGTGCTTGTTTCCATCTAAAATTTTGTGAAGATGAAAACAGCATATTTTAATATTAATATAACAATTATTGACTTTATTTTAGTAAATATATGGTTAAAAGGGCCAAAACATTTAGACCAATCTCAACTTTGTCGGGGTTATTATCACTTTCTCGGGTCCTTAATACTTCAGATTCACCTCAACAAAAGTTAAATACTAACCTTATTATATGTTATTTGAAATAGCATTATGTGTAACTTTAAGCTTGTAGCATGTGTAATCACCCTAATTGTGAGACACTACAAGAAGACGCCATGATTTCCTGACAAAGTTTACATTTTTACTCTCTTTAGTAGAAATATAAATCATATGACAAAATAAACTCAAAATTGCACCCATTCAGTTTTGAGTTGATGGAATATCACTAAAACTCGTCTCTTATAGAAACATTTGAAATAAGAACGCCTAAACATAAAATGGTATAACATGGCTTTATTAGATAATAAGACAAATAGAATAACAATGACACCGCGTGAATGATGTTGAAATACAATGCGAAAAAAAACATCAATGTCGGGTAAAGTCCTTTATTTTCCTTGATTAGATTTCTGTTTTGTTCCTCCCTTCCTTACAGATATCAACGACATTCCCGAAATTAATAATATACCGAGTGGATTGACGGTGTCAGTTCCGGAAAATAGTGCCATTTCCAAATACATCATCAACGCTGCCGTCACAGATGGAAACGCTGCAGACAAGCATACGTTCTCTGCCGTATTTTCGCCGGCAGAGGGCTCTAGTTATTTCCGATACTATGCAAAGTGTAAGTATGTTCTCTATTTTCCCTAAAGCTTCATTTTAATTATTTCATTTTTGCTCTTCCTCCAGTTGTAGACTTTTTCAGGTTCTACCGTAAAACCTTAAGAAACTGAGAACACAAAAAGTGATGACGTCGTGTACTGCAGTGTTTGGTGCGGTATTTGTAATTCTAACTTCTGATTGGTTGAAGTTGCTTTGCAATGAAATTACTGCGATATGTTTCGTTTCAAGCAACATTTTTTTTTTAATTAGAAATGAATAATTACACTCACTATGAATTAAATTTTGTTGCCTGATTTTTAAAAATAAATTATAAGGAATAACCAGACCTATTATTTGGGTTATACGGTATATACCGAAAGAAAACTGTGTGCACTTTTGTGCATAAACCACTTCGTGGATTTATGCAAAGTGCACACAGTGTTTTCGATAAATACCGTATCACCCAAAAATGATATTGATTACGTAATGCGACTGGTTATTCTTAAGGTATTTTAAGAAAATGATCAAAATCCTTAATACATTTCACTGTGTTATGGTACGTATTAAATAAATTTTGAAACCTCGTTGTCTTGTAATGCAAACATTTCTTTGGATTATTGTAGATGGAGTCGTATTACCAAAGGTAGTCATTGACTACGAGGAGTTGCTGGCTAAAGGAATCACATCATTTAACGTCGCCATGACAGCGAACGATGGACGAGAAGATTCGCCAACCAAGCACTTCACGATAGAGGTCACTGACGTCAACGAACAACAGACGGGATTTTCGCAGGCTACATATCAAATCACAGGAGTAGAGGTACTTTGTTTTGTTTTCCTTTTAGCGTTATTTGTAGTTTTGTTTCTTCAGTTTTTCCGATGTATAAAGTGTGAATGAATCAGTGACACTGTCTTACACTGCCCGTTAAGCTAACGGACTCAACACATATGTGTTCGCCTGTAAAATGCTACGCCATAACATATTGTTAATTCCGGACCTGACTGTCCGGTATTGGTCCTTCTTGAATGCCGTTACTATCACCCCTCTCTTTTTGGTTTACATGATTCAGTAAATCTATGTTCACGTTGTGTACAAGTGGTCTCCTATTTTACTTACTGGCGCTTAGTCCAATTACTCACAAACCTTGAGAACTACAAATATTGTATACTTACAGTCATTTATAAGATGTGAATAGGGGTTAAGGCACCGCAGACTGACTGTTGTTGGACATTTCACATAAGGCTAAGGGTTGTATGATTAAATTAATACACAAGGTGTGTTTGTATAAACTATACAGGTGTAACATGTCACTGACAAGCTTTATTTTATCATAAAAGTAATTGAAAAATAATTAAAAGTAATTGTCCATTACATGTACTTTCCAATGTAACTAATTAAATTACCATTACATGTAATTGGAAAATTCATCAATTACAAATTACATCCAATTTGTTAAGAAAGTGTAATCAATTGCAATTAACTACCATTACACAATACCATTACCCCATGCCTGATTCTCATGATTTTAAACTGGAATTGTTCCCTTAAATATAAAGTTTATAGAGAATCACTCATTTTTAATAAAAAAAAATCTCGAATATTTGCAATTTTTCACAAACTTCAACTAAGCTTCCAAAAAAATGAAAAAAATAGAGGTATCTCTTTTACAACGATCTAGATTTGATTATGATTTATTTCAAATCTATTTCTCTTCTATGTTCCTGATGCATTTGCGGAGATGTTTGGAATACATAAAGGTGAACCATTTCTGGAGGATGGAGTTTTGTTCATATTTATCTCGTTACAAAAACAATTTAGGGGTTTAATATAGCCAGCAACGCATAAATGAGTAACGGCATCAGTTGTCTATTACATTTGTTCATTAGTAAAAACAGCATTTGTCCAGTGTACCGATCAGTCACCAATCATTTATTAATCAATAACCCAGACACAAACCTATCAACTAGTTATCGATCAGCAAACCACTCAATGCACCTATAGCCAATTAGTTATTGAAAAAAAAAACACGTTATCATCAGTTTATCATGCTATGAATCAATCAACGAGCTAGTTATCAATAACATTATCAATTAGCCGATATATATATAAGTTAACGATCAACTGAGCAATTCCCGACACTAATTATCATAATTTAAATCACAATGTATGAAATAATTCAATAAATAAATTGATCGATCCATCATTCAGTTAAATATTGTGAAACATGATAATTTTAATAAGAAGAGCCTTTGTTTCACTAATTGGTATTTTCGGTGACACTGTATTTTAACTGAAGTAATGATAATATATTCTAAAATGAAAAATTGATATTCTCGCACCTCAGACAGGGATATCCTACTTGATTCCCTGTGATAGATTTTTCTATCTCGTCCGGTCTGTCTTGCATCTTTATGTGACATTTCTCGAAATATTCACACAGCGATATATATTCATCCGCGCGATATGGGCGTGAAAGTGACAATCTGCATTATTTATATTTTGTTCTGTCGTCTTATGTATTGTTCTGATGATGCTAGTTTCCTGATGGTGTAGAAAAAAATATTTAATATAATGTAAAATACGTTGTCTTCATTGCAAGGACGGACTCTATTTTTACGCGGAAACATTCGAGGCTGAGATAACCTTGATGTTCCTCAGTTACAGGTAATATAATTTATTAATACGTCGTTTCAGACTACCACCACCTTCGCTGACCTGAGCCCCACGCTTGTTAATTCCGTGATAGACCCCGACGACACACGAGATACACAGACCCTTACCATGGACTGTGGGGCCAACACAGGGTTGTTCTCCATGGATCCAAGCACAGGGCGCGTCACAAAGGCTGCTGAGTACGACCTAGACGCCACACAAAAGACGACAGAAACCGTCGCATGTGTTGGTGAGTGTTTTAGAGTTTGTGAGTAAATATGGTATTTTCATTCTTTTGAACAACTGGTTCACCTCTTGTCAGTATAATGTGACCGGGCGGAATGTTGTGCTTGGTGCATTCGGCATGGTATTTCATTGAGATAACACTATAAAGTCGGCATCAGATCCACGCTATCACAAGGAGGCAAGTACACCAACATACCTTGTCTCCGGTACACATACACACAAATACGCTTACACAACACACATGGAAGTACAAATGTACGTTCGTAAATGGCCTGAGTTGTTAATAGGACGTTACACAAAATAAAACCAAACCAAACTTTATAGCCACTGAGGAGTTATAAAGGGACAAGATTACAACATGGTGCAGCGAAATATTTACATACACTTCTGTGATATGTTTTTTGTATTGGCAAACTAAATTCCTTGTGAATGTCATTCATATCAATACACTTGCAAAAATATGCAAAGCAAAAACATGTTAGTATATAAAATTATCCACTCCTTGTAAAAATGACTGCGTTCATGCGTAAGTAATCATAATGTTTAGATATAATAAAATCAAACTCTCTGTTGATACCGATACTGTGGTCTTCTGAAGAAAGCTGTCATGTATAACCTATCCAGATCATAATTAAATGGCATATACTGTAAAAGCGGAACATTTCGCGTGTGGTACAGTTAGCGTTGCAACTCTTCACACTTTTAACGCGGTATGAACATGTTCGCTTTGGCAACGGTTCAAAATTGTATATATCCTACATACCTAAAAGCTATACAAATCTATTTGCTAGTTCACTCGACATCAAAACACAAACATTTCCACACTGCGAACATTTTCACTTTCACATTATCGAAAATAAACGTTTCCGTGGGTAACATATGTTAATATGCAACTGGCTGTTCTACAGTGACAGCGACTGACGAAGCTGGGCACACTGTAACGGCCGACCTGAACATTGTCATCAACGAGGAAAACGATAACCCACCCGTGCTGAACAAGGACACTTACACTCGCTTCCTGCCTATTAACACGGGGGCGGGGTCACGGTTCGGTCCGTTCTCTTCCACTGACGCAGATGTGCTAGACGACCACACTGATACAACGTACACACTGACCGGGGGGTCGGGGCTGTTTGGCCATACGGACTGCTGCAGGTACATAGTGTAATAAAGTGTATGTTGTACACATTGACCGGGGGGGGGGCTGTTTGGCCATTATTTTCATCAGCTCTGCGCTTGCTCTTGTGGAGGAAACAAATACAGCAGTACATCCTTTGGTATATATTAAACAAAGAGCGCTCAACAATCGTCACGGGAAACATAACTGATTTTGAAGTCAGGCCTTGCTCCTCTGTAAACTTCAAAGTACAGGTAATAGCCTAACGATATTGGTCAGGGTTTTCTAAATTGAATACAACTCAATAGTTAACTGCGCGCCTTTAATGAAACATTGTTGGGATGTAAGAACGTACAAGAGCTGGAATTTCGGATTAGAATTACGTACTTACATGTACTTACATGATAGAAAATGTGGTGAACCCTGGGGTCACGATACATAGCTTACACATAACAATAATATTGACGTGACGTCATGCACAAATAGCTAAATCTACTGAATTTGTAACTTTGGTTGCAAGAAAAAACTCAAATATCTTGGAAAGCCACGTTCTGGACAAAACAAATATCTTACCCTAGGGTTAAGAATGATTAATCTTCACAATACTGGAAAATAACTGTTATTAACATCTTCAGTGTACATACATAGAATTCGTACTGTATGTTTGACAATATCTTATACATGTCTTTAGATATGAAGAATATTTTTTTCTGCCATCCGGTCAGTAGTTGCCGTGTGAGTGTGTCAATGTGTAATGAACAAAATTACGCAATGCTTTGATATTTTCCTTCAGTGTCTACAACAACGTCAACTTTAGCACAACAACATACCAGGTAGGTGATTCGTTTCCAATGACCTTGACCGCCATCAACAAAAATGGCCTCAAGGACACGGCCACTTTCAACGTCATTCTTACCGACCCTGTGACCACTTCCGCTCCTGTTGCGGCTGCCACCACAGCCGCCACAGCGGCATCTACCTCTTCATTACAGTTTCCTGAGTTTGGTGGCATCGGGGGTATCTCTAACTTCCTGGACGACCCTGAAAATCTGGCATGGTTTATACCTACAATGATCCTGCTGGCTATCATGACAGCGTTACTTGCATACATGCTGTACAGATGTTTACGGAACCCGGGTGCCTTTTCTAAACTTGGAAAGCTGTGGTTGGTATTCCAGGAAAAACCGGGAGTAATTTCGTTAATTATGCTTTGATCCTAAGATAACAAACTAACTATTGTTATATGAAAACTAACTTACTGGATTATCATTAATTAATTAATATCATTAAATGTTATAGAGATACAAAAATGTATATTCAAATATAATAGACATATAATTAATAGCTATAGAGATTTATTTCAATATTATAGAAATATCGTGTCAAAAATTAGAGATATTAAAAGATGTCCGTAAGACACACACAAGTGACTGCATCTATACAAAATCGTATGATTAAAGATATGTTATGTAGTTTCGAGAAAAAGAGATATATTTAGATATATCTCATTGATATTAATAAATTTTCAATGTAATACAATATATCTCTATTGTTTATCAGATATCTCTGAAATAAGTAGTCATATCTCAATTAGGTATTTTATGTTAAGTTCACCAGCCATACATAAGATCTCTAGAATGCCCGTCCCACTTCAAAACAATTGTAACTATGTATTGGAAACAGTTTTTTGACATTACTATAACTTAGATAAATCATTTTGGAAAATGAAAACATTGGAAAAAGGAAACCATACTCTGAACGAAAAACTCGAATTTGCTCGTTGTTTGCCTGCAATGGGCAAAGTATCATTAAGCTATTCTTTTTCGTGTCGTTAAATGACCGCATATCCGTGTTTCTGCTTTTTTTTTTTAATATTTAAATGTGTATTTGATTAGGAGTTGTCTGTTCTGTCGTTGTAGCAAAGGAAGGTCGTTAAGGTGCAAATGGCGAAGTCGCAGTAAGAGAATAACGAAGGCTAAGTCTCCAAAGAAGGTCAAGGCCAAAAACAAAAAGGGAAACAAAGGTTAGCTTTATCAACAGATTTGTACGAAAATTGATATAGGTTTGCTTCTATTTATCGTTTTAGTAATGCTTTCGTTATTTTAATGAATTATGATGTGTATGACAAATGCAATATATTGATATATATTGTAAGTAGTGTTCTATTTATTTCATTTCAAATATTTTGAAAGATATTTAAAATTGTGAGTATGTAACGAAGAAATAAATAGTACAGACTTCTTAACTGGTTGACTACCAGTCACTGAAGTTTGCCAACCTTGCATTTGGAGTTGATTTTGTCATAGTTTACATTAAATAATCGTTGAAGAAAAAGTGTTATCACATAATGTACTATGTTATCCATTGACTATACCCATGTCATATTTGTTTTGCGTATTAACCCAAATAATATGACCTATCAGTCCTGTGATTGGTTGTAAGTTTTCAATTGTTTCAATTGTGACGTCACGCCTAGAACAAGTACATGACGTCACAGACTAACGCGCTTCAAGGTTGCACGAAAATTGTCGTTTTACACGAATAAATGCTATAAATCTTGATTATGTGATAAACAGGATCTTACACTCGTTTTCATTTCAAATGAAATTTATGAAACTCGTCAGGAATTTTTCATTTTATCTCACCAGAGGCTCGCTAAATTGAAAAATTCTTAGACTCGTTTCATAAATCTCATATGAAATGGAAACTCATGTAAGATCCTATACATCTGTATTAACTTAAAGTTGTATTTTTTTCTTACGCGTTGGAAACCCTTTCCTAACTTGTGGTATTGCTCTATACATACTGACTGTTGGAAACCCTTAGACATGACTTTTATTCTGTTAACATTAAATGCCACTGATATGTAATAAATGTAATAAAAGACAAAAAACAAATGTTTACTGTGTTCGGATATCTGGATAGTCTTATTCAATATAAATAAATATAAACTTTATTTATTTAACAACAAATGGGAAACAAATGATATCAACTTTTCTAAGTAACTCTTGTTTGCACGGTTATTGGTACGCTGGGGGTCTTATATGGGATGGAAACCGGAGAATCTTGGAAAACCGACGTGGTCGGGATGGTGACCCCCTTACCTTCTAACGTCCTTTCAGGAAATCTAACCCCGACCGTCTTGATGAAAGGCGATTGCAATATATGTGCGCCGCCTGACCGCCGTTGCTAAATGGTTTACATATATTTCTTTTTTTCGATGTTTTAATGAACATTCTCAGATAACAGCATATGCAGCAGAACAAAGCAGTACTTCGGTGCTTCACCAACTGACAAGTTTGCTTTACCTATAATATGTCAAGTGTGTTCAATATAGGATCTTACATGAGTTTTCATTTCATATGAGATTAATGAAACGAGTCTAAGAATTTTTCAACTAAGCGAGCCTCTGGCGAGCTTAAATGAAAAACTCGTTACTTATTTCATAAATTTCACATGAAATGAAAACGAGTGTAAGATCCTTTTTATCACATAATCGAAATGTGTTGCATTTATTCGTGTAAAACGAAAATGTTCATGTAACCTTGAATGTAAAAAGGCGTCATTTTGACTCCAGTGCATAAGTCTGTGATGTCATGTACTTGTCCTAGGCGTGACGTCACAATTGAAACTAACAACCAATCACAGGGCTGATAGGTCGCATTATTGGTTAATATTCAATGGATAACACATTACACTATGTGATAAAACTAAATATGTGTACGATTAAGAAGGACACACACTATATTGCATATGATCTAGTTTTCCTCATTAAGATTGTGATGTGATTTCAATTAATATTCTGACAATGATATATGGCAGTTGAGAAACGTTTGCAAATTATTTTATTTTCAATTAAATGAAATGTTTTGTTGGTTAATTATCTACATGTTTAATACCAACGATAGGCTACTTGTATGCGGTACTTAAGTAGGACTATATAAGAGAAGAGTAGTTTTGGCCGAGAAAAACAGTTACGTTTTTTTGTCGTATATTTCAGTTCGCCAGTTGGATAGCAACGACGGCAAGTACGAGTGGAACATCTGGTCCCATTCTGACTTCGGAAACAAAACGTAAGTAGTGGTTCACTCAAATTGTTCTACCTACGTGTAAACCTGTCATGAAACCTATTATGACACATATATTTCTAAGAGCCTTGTTTAAATGATCAATTCAAAGATTCTTTTTCAAAACGATATACCCAATGGAACCTAACAAAACGTATGTTAATCATCTCATAATTATCATAAGTTTTTTTATATTTGTTCATATTAACAATATGGATACTTTCGTTCGTTTTACGTCTCATTGAAATTCGACTTTTTAAAATTTATTTTGTTCCCTGAAATAACATTTTCTATTTCAGTGTCGAGCACAGATAGAAAATGAAGAGGAATTGATGGGACAGTTGCAGACCAATTATCTTAGAGTGGATAAAATGTTTGGTCTGTAGACTGAATTTTATATCTATTGCTCCATATAACGTTTGGGGAATAGAAAACAACCTTCACTCCTACAAGCATCACTGTATCGTAGTGTATTGTATCAACTCTATCCTGTGATTGTTGAAGTAACATTTTGTAATTATGGACAAAATCGTCATTTGTGCCGTATCAATTTAATGGTGAAGTGGAACCACACGATAAGCACTATTTTATGATAAAATACAGACAAAACATTGATGTAAATACCGGAAAAAGTAGACAATTAAAACAGTTTCTGTGTTACTATGCTAGTAATCTTAAATATTCGTTTATGTTCTTCAAGAATTTGCACATAAAACCATACCAGCGTTTCTTCAGTTAATTATTTATTTCATTATTTATTCAATGTTGAAGATGTTGGGATTTCAATGCATGTAAATAGTGACGAAAAGTTATTTGCCATCCATCATGAATACTTAACGCCACAATCATAATTTCATGAGAAATATTTTGTTTATGCAGTGACAAAGAGAGGGGCAATGTCTAAATTTGATTTTGATATTTTTTGACTGTAAGTTATTTTATTTTTTTTCATTGGATACTATTTTTTGCTAAAAAAATTAATTCGGTATGCTATTGCGTGTCTTTAGCAACAATATGATCAAACTTCAATTTTGCAGTTTAAGTCTTGAATAAATGTATTTGCATTCTCATGCCATTGCGTTCTGTCATTTTGTTTTAGTTTTTTTGTGGGTTATTTTTGTAAGAAGGAGCCGGCAATTGATTAATATAGATAAAACCTGATCAAGTGATATTTTTTCAGATTAATACATATCTATATATTATTATGTCACCCTTATTAATGAGTTCATCGAATCTTGGTAATAGTTTTCGGTATCTACGCACGAACAACAGTTTTAATACACAGGTAAAAAGACGGTGGCATCTAAAAATAACTTATCAGATTTGGCAAATGCCAGGTGAGCATTTGGGTTAAAAAAATTGATAGTCACAATTACAGTCAAAATAAAGGGTACTAGCATTTAAGCTGTGGAAAGTCTATCTTCGGATCAAATGTAATGGAGATTAAATAATACATAGAAGCATGTATCATCAGAGGTATTGACTGTGTTTTAATTTCAACTATATCAAGATATAACAAGCAGAACATAACTATTTGAATTAACGAAGTGCAGTACATACATTTCGTTTTGGTTTGAAAATGGTTTCCGTCGAGATTTTTGGATTTCAATGCTAATTTGCGAATATCCATACGAACAATTCGATTATCTCAACAACGATGCATGTACGCATTTCTCTATTTAGATATGTGTGCGTTCATAACAAAAACATGAGTTATTAAAACAAACAAAAACCAATTGAAAATTTATAACATTTGCACAAAAAGAAATTTGCATGTAGGTATTTAAAAAACTACACGTATGCTAATCTGACGTTTCAAATTGCACTCGTCAATTATTCGAATGGCTCTGCGAAATATATCGATACAAGCATTGTACACGTGCGAACAAAGACGTCAGATGAACACATATGAATGGTATTGCTTATTTGTAGTTTCTTTTTATCAGTTCATAGTCACATAGACCAGCACCCCATCTAGTATTGTGTTGGCAGAACAAGCCTTCATATTGCCATATTCTACCTGTTAGTAAGAACCTTTTCAGGATCATATTGATCCCTAAAATAAGCCTATTCGTATCAGTCTTCCAAAGTTTGACATCTTTCAGGAATAGTCGATTGACCCACTAGACCTTTATATTAAATAAATATTTAGCTTTTATGTATTAAGGATCCCTGTCCCACTGCACTGTCGTTTTACTTCCGTTTGTTTATACTGTAACACAGTTGGGCTCGTACAATTTCGATGTCCTGGTAGCTTAATCAGTATCATGGTATAACAATTTGAAGTCCATAGTTCGAATCCAAGCCTGGTCCTGCAAAATATTTTACACTCAGCACACATTTGTGAATTACGCTTAGTTTTCTTTTCATCTTTACTATTCATAAAAGTCCGGCAAGGTATTGTTTCTTTTTCAGAAATGATTTATCAAAGCTAGTCATTCCGGAAAAATATATTTCGAATGCATAATAATGTTCATTTTTGGCAGTGGTACGGGGATCCTTAAGTGAATTTACTATTTTTTGTGAGCACAAAGTTGCGTCTCAAGTACTGATAAAGTGAGTAGGTGGGTTTTTTCTACCTATTTCCGGTTAAATCATCTATATCAGTCATATGCAGTTCATGACCTTCAGTCTAAACAACATTAAAGTTACTCGGCCTGTGCCGGATGGTCATCATGTTGATCTAACTCAAATTTTATAGCGACAAGACGATTATCGAGTGTCTTTAAAAAATCTAAATATTTTTATTAGTTAGATAAATATCATAACTAGCCATCATGTTTGGGGACCATTTTCTCCCATTACGTTCTTATTGTGTTTAGAATGTATTTTTCTTAGAAATACAGGATTTCTGCTTCCGATCAAAGGAAACAATTGTTATGAATGATGACGTTACAATAAAAGACAATTGGCAAGAACATTGGTTTTGGTTTTGACGGAAAATTATGGAGGGTACGACATGCAATGATGGAAATGTTTAACTTTTAGAAACATGTAGTTGTCCGGTTGTTGTTTTTTTTAATTGCAAATGCTGTCTCCGTCCTATGTTTTCTTCGTTCCTCGTTGTTTTATCTTCTTGCGATGTTTTCCGCGGAATTTGTTTCCATGTTTTGATGTTTTTATGGTATTTCTCTTCTATTTCATTTAGTAAACATTTAAATCTGAATACATTTCTTGTGTATCTTGAGTTACCTTATCTATTTCAGTACTGTGTGATGATGCTGTGGTAGTCAACAAATACATACTCTTGTAATACAATTCTGCAATGGCGTAGTTTGGTTTGTTTTGTGTTATTGTGTTTAGCGCTCTATTAATGGCAAAGATCATATAAAAACGTACCTCAATACATGTACATTGTAATGTATAGGCGTGTACTGGAGGCAGGGTATGTTGAAAAATTTGCCTCCTTGTGATAGCGGGGATCTAATGCTGACTTTAGAGGGCTATCTTACTGAAATACCTTGCCAAAGGCATCCATCACAGTATTTCACCCAGTCACATTATACTGACAACGGGTTGACCAGTTGTTGCCATTATCCTAATTGTCTATTATCCACAGGTACCGTCTAGATTAATTTTAAGGATATATGGCAATAATGTTGTAGGATAGAGGTTTGCTTTCAGAGCCATTTAAGAGCGACGTCTGTCTATTAAGTTCCAATTTTTCACTTTAGATAAAACAAAATCTTGCCAATATTGATTCGAGTATTCAAATAATTATATATAAAAAAACGAATTAAATTGCGACTGTCCTTTTAATAATAAAAAAAATCCTTTGTGCCGATAAGTCATCCATTAGTGTTTAAAGTTATATACGATAATACTACATAAATATATACTGACTTCGCAAATATAACAATATAACTTTATTTCTTTTACAACAAATTTGAAAACAGGTTTTATTAACTCATATTATTCTTTCTTTTGGGCCTTAGTTGTACTTACATGTACTTTCATGCAGCATCAATCTCTTTTCCTTTATGTGTATAACAACGACAACAGTAGAACACAAATGTAATGTAAACTTAAATCAGTGCTAAACGGGCAAAGCATGAAGAAAGAAAAGACTAACGCAGAGATCCCCGAAAAAGGAACTTCTGCAACACGAATTTAATAAAGGAAAAGCGAAAACAAATATGTTCTAAGTGAATACTTTTAATGAATGCTATGCTATGAAAAACAGATACTTCTCAGCTATGTGTAAACGAAAAGGTTAGAACAATCTGAGGATTTTATTCTCATTCGTGAGCTTGGTTAGAAAAATAAACATTTATTCCGATCTATTACTTCTCTCGTTCAAAATGTCAAATCAGAAGGAAATAATTATATAAATACAATAATGAACGTAAAAATTAGAAAGTACCAAAGCACTGTGTTTTATCTACTTCTAAGCAGCGTTCATAGTTGTGCAGTATTTTTCTGACTTGTAGTTGCTCGCCAATTGTGTACAGCAGGGAGTTGTGTTTTTGTTTTATCTACAAAACAAGAGGATCCAATCCTGGACCTCTTGATCATGAAAGAAGAAACTTATCCACTGCTCAACGGGTCTATATATTTGTTGTAAAATACATTTCTGCAAAATTATTTGGAATAGTATCAATATGGTCTAGCTCTCTTACAAAATACAAAAACCTATCATTATCTTTGTATAAATACAAAAGGGAATGACATAGAATTGACAGTAAAAAAAACCTATTTAAGGCCTAAATAACGAAGCAAAGTGATTAGTTCCTTAAAAATGATATCAATGTTAGCATAATATATTAATGGTAACCCTTATAGTTTGTACCTGTCTAGAAATATGCTTGGTGATTCCCAGCGTTGATGAAGACAGTCTCATAAACATAAACGATCCCGTAATTTACACAACAGTTAAGGAAATAAACGATATAATACTGGTTAAAAAATGTAAAATTCATTGAAAACATCACGCTAAATGCTTTGCAATGTATTAGAGTCAATTATTTTGTCCCCGATGAGAGTCTCTGAATCCCTTTTTGTCTTCAATTGTCCCTTTGATCCTTTCTTTGCTCTACCGATGTTCGACTCTGAAAAAGAAATATTTATTCAGAAAATCATAACAGTGATATTTTATTCGGTTTTGTACAAACATAACATATGCAACAGTGTCTATACACCTGAACAAAATCGTACAAAAATATTTGGAGAGAAAATTATCATTCCCTATCTTCGGGGGTGCAACGCGAAAACCCTTAAATGAAATTAATAGAATGAATCGTTCACCCTATTGGTAATGAGAAAGGCGACTTCTAAATCTGCAGTAGGATATTCTAAAGTTATCAAACACGAGGCTTGCCGAGTATTTGGCAACTACAGAATATGTCTACGATGGTTGAGATTCTCATACTAATCTCCAGGATGTGAATTATTCGTTTTTTCTCACACTGGTTAAACTATCATAATGTATCATGCAATGTTTATGTTACAGGATTAGGGCATTGTTGACGTGACATCATTCAGTCGTTGTTTTGAGGATTCCCCCCTTCGCAACCCTATGGTGAAACAAGGGTGTCTCACGCTTGGAAAAGAATCGATACAAATGTCAAGGGTAATAATTATTTGCCCTACTCTCAAGATATGTAATGCAGGAGATCCTTTTCTAAGTTTTCGCAGCATAATAAGTGTCATACACGGTTTTCAAAACCGCATACCTTCCATAGAACTGACTTCCTTTTAGTTATAGATCTGGGTGTACTTGTGCATTGTCGTTGCGTGTTCATTTTTATTTTTTTACTTTGTTAGGTATTTCCCTAATTTCCATATACAAACCAACGATATATGTAATCAAAATAGAGAAAAACGAAGCCTGTCCAATTAAAAGATATGTAATCCTATATTCTTTTCAGAACCACTGTTCATGAAACTAAACCCTTGATGTCCAAGCACCTATTAAAATTAAACATAAATGTGGCCATGCTTACGCTTTGTTTCCGAAGTCATTATGAGACCAAGTGTTCCATTCATACTATCCGTCGTTGTCTTCTAACGGGCGAACTGAAGGATAAACTAAGTGCATTATATAGTTGTTTCTAGACCTGAAAATTCGGTCTTTTATGACTCAACTTTTCCAAGACATCTACTTTTTCCTTTTCCTGTAATATTTTATTTTATATCAGTTTTATTTAAATGAAGTTTGTTATTTCCATTATTATTTAACTACACTATACATATATGGTTTCCTTGTTCAGTTGCACCATGACAGTTTATCTTACAATTTAAAAAAAAATGTTGTTATTAATGCTTTTATGTATTGTCTTGTTGTTATTATTGTTAATATTGGTGTTTTGACATGAGATATATTTATATTTAATCTTCAATCTTTAGATAACCTCTAAACTCATGTTAATATCATATATACATGACTTCTTCTTCCTGTGTATCAAATATCAGGTGACTATCAAACTTTTGTGATAAAACGTTTAAGTTGGTGAATGAAGCATCAATTGAATTATTTTATCGGTTTACATGGAATAAATGCAAAACAAATATTATTTAAAATGTGAATGGAATAACTGCAAACAAATATTGAATTATAATGTGAAAGGAATAAATGAAAAAATGTTGAATTATAATGTGATTGGAATAAATGCAAAACAAATGTTGAATTAAAATGTGACTGGAATAAATACAAAAAATATTGAATTAAAATGTGAATGGAAAAAATGCAAAACAAATGTTGAATTAAAATGTTATGGCATAAATGCAAAAACAGAATGTGAATTATAATGGGAATGGAATAAATGCAAATAAAAATGGATCATTATGGGGATGGAATAAATGCAAACAAATATTGAATCATTATGTGAATGGAATAAATGCAAACAATTATTGAATTAAAATGTGAATGGTATGAATGCAAGCAAATATTGAATCATTATGTGAATGGAATAAATGCAAACAATTATTGAATTAAAATGTGAATGGTATGAATGCAAACAAATATTGAATCATTATGTGAATGGAATAAATGCAAACAATTATTGAATTAAAATGTGAATGGTATGAATGCAAACAAATATTGAATCATTATGTGAATGGAATAAATGCAAACAATTATTGAATTAAAATGTGAATGGTATGAATGCAAACAAATATTGAATCATTATGTGAATGGAATAAATGCAAACAATTATTGAATTAAAATGTGAATGGTATAAATGCAAACAAATATTGAATTATAATGGGAAGGGAATAAATGCAAAAAATGTTGAATCATTATGTGAATGGAATATAAGATTTCTTACCCTTGTTTGCTTTGTTGTTAGCCATCTTGCTACGGGTTTGCCAGTTACAGTTCAAAGACCGTCCCTTACTACAAAAGAAATTAAATTTCAAGGTCCAAATTCAACTATTTATATAATGATAACGTATCAATTTAATCAGGAAAAGTAATTTTCCTTGTACTCCTTGATAAAGCAAAACAATTCAAATTAATATTATGCATAAAGAAATGCTCTCCCACAGAAAGACTAGAAAGTGGTTTACCTCATTGGCGTGTTTTCTAAAACTTTTTTTCCGCGGTTTAACTTTCTGCCATTTATGCATGAACAATACTAACCACAAGTTTCCGAGTCTGGCAAAGGCACCAGGGTTCCGTATACATCTGTATATCATATACGCAAGCAATGCAGTCATGATAGCCAGCACGATCATGGTTGGTATGAACCAACCAAGATTTTCTGGATCGTCTAGGAAATTAGAAATACTCCCACTGTCACCAAATGTGGGAAACGTTGTGGTTGTTGTGACGACGGTGGCGGCTGTGAAGGTTACAGGGTCGGTAAGAATGACGTTGACGGTGGCGGTATCTTTAAGGCCATTCTTGTTAGTTGCGGTCAAGGTCATGGAAAATGAATCACTTACATTGTGGGCCGTCGTGCTAAAGTTGACATTGTTGTAGACACTGAAGTAACATAAACAATATACTACATTATTTTTAAACTAAAATCGGTAGCTTTTTGTTGGAAATTGGGTTTTTTTTCAGCTATCACTATAGTTTTGGTCAATCATTTCTGAAAAGAAACCATACCTAACGGTACATTTATTGGAAAGAATAGGCAGGAAAAAACTATAAACAACATTACAGTGTCCTGAGTGTAAAAACTCAGCATGGCCAGATCGGGAATCGATCTAGAGCGAACTAGTCAACGAAAGAGGCATGGCCTATGAGTACAACACTTGTATCTAAACGAAAAGTATGGGAAGATTACTTTACATCGAGAAAACAACAGTGCAGTGGGACGGGGATTCTTAGGAAGTACAATATTTTTGTTCTCATGATGTAACAGACAAGATATAAAACTGGAATACATGGGAACCGATCCGTTACGTCATACAACATATGTTAGATTTCCCAAGCATAATCAGGGCCCACGTTCTTGACACCGTTTTAAAAGCTCAAATTCAGATTCTGTGCTCAGCGCTTATTTCTCGTGTCAGAGATTTTTTTAAGGAAATTACATTGTGTTAATGATTTCGAATGGTTAATATGACTTTTTTACCATGTCACGTGATTAAGATGCATTAGAAGAACGGTGCTTGAACACAAAAAGCATAATTAAACGTAAGTCGATTTCATGAAAATGCAAGCCATGAAGTATGAAATTTACACAGGAAGGNGATCAGTTGGTGAACGGTTAATTTGGTCCGTCGCCACTGCCTCTCTGCTTGTCTACGTTTCTGTTTTTCCACGCGGAGATTTTCATTCTACCACGGGGCATTTGGTCTCATAGTTATCACCTAAGTTTGCAGAAGTGCTTGTTTCTCTATAAGGGCTTCTATACCAAATGTGTATGCTTCAACAAGATCATTAACCTTGCCTTCAGTAGGTAGAAGGGCGGAACAAGACTGAATGTCATTGTTGAAATCTGGTATTGAAATTTCGCGGAATTTCCGGAAGCTCACTTCTTTCCTTGCACGAGCTGGCTTACTACAATTCAGTGTTGTGTGGACAGCAAGATGATCACCAGATTGGTTCCCCTTTACATCACTTAGACATGGATCAATGACTGAAATAGCTCCATGAATGACTGAGTTATCTTCCCTCGTTATGACCACATCCAGTGTGTGGCCATGGGTGTGTGTAGCTTCTGTCACATGCTGAATCAGACCCCTGGAATCTAGTAGACCAGAGAACTGGCGAGCATCAACATTAGATAGATCGTCTAAGTGGAAATTTAGATCACCTGTGATAATAATCTCTTGTGGTACAACAACTTGGTGGTCTAAAAAGATAGACCATTCATCAAAAAACACTGCATTTCGGAAAACATTCTGTTTAGATGGTGGAGGCCTGTAAATGATACACAATCTAAATTGTTTATCACCAGCAATGACAGAACAAGTCGTGTGCTCAAAGTGTGTGTATACATCATCATGGCTGGAAGAGAGATGTCTCACACTTATGCCTTTCTTAAACAGAACAGCCACCCCACCACCACGTTTGCCGAGTCTAGCATTGTGGTGGAATTCATAGCCTGTTGGGATTAGCTCAGCTAGGACCTGGTCATCGATATCTGAACCTAACCAGGTTTCTGTCAATGCAAGAATGTCAATGTCCCGAGATGTTACAAAATCCCCGATGGACAATGACTTATTCTTCACTGAACGACAGTAAAAAAAATGAGAAAAACGAAGCCTGTCCAATTAAAAGATATGTAATCATATATTCTTTTAAGTACCACTGTTCATGAAACTAAACCCTTGATGTCCAAGCACCTATTTTTAAAAAAAACATAAATGTGGCAATGCTTACGCTTTGTTTCCGAAGTCAATATGAGACCAAGTGTTCCATTCATACTTTCCGTCGTTGTCTCCTAACTGGCGAACTGAAGGATAAAATAAGTGCATTATATAGTTGTTTCTAGACCCGAAACCCGGTCTTTTATGTCTCCACTTTTCAAAGACATCTACTTTTTCCTTTTCCTGTAATATTTTATTTTATATCAGTTTTATTTTAATGAAATTTGTTATTTCCATTATTAATGTACTACAATATACATATATGGTTTCCTTGTTCAGTTGCACCATGACAATTTATCTTACAATTTAAAAAAAAAAATGTTGTTGTGAATGCTTTTATGTATTGTCTTGTTGTTATTATTGTTAATATTGGTGTTTTGACATGATATATATTTATATTTAATCTTCAATCTTCAGATAACCTCTAAACTCATGTTAATATAATATATACATGATTTCTTCTTCCTGTGTATTAAATATCAGGTAAATATCAATATTGTGATAAAACGTTCTAGTTGGTGAATGAGCATCGTTTGAATTATTTTATCAGTTTACAAAGAACAAATGCAAAAACAAAGGTTGAATTAAAAAGTGAATGGAATAAATGCAAAAAGATATTGAATTATAATGTGACGAGAATAATGCAAAGCAAAATATTGAATTATAATGTGATTGGAATATGTGCAAAACAAATGTTAAATTAAAATGCAAATGGAATAAATGCAAAACTAATATTGAATTAAAATGTAAATGGGATAAATGCAAAAACAAATAATGAATTATAATGTGAATGGAATAAATGCAAAAACAAATATTGAATTATAATGTGGATGGAATAAATGCAAAAAAATATTGAATTAAAATGTGAATGGAATAAATGCAAACCACATGTTGAATTAAAATGTAAATGGAATAAATGCAAAACAAAATGTTGAATTATAATGGGAATGGAATAAATGCAAATAAGAATGGATCATTATGTGAATGGAATAAATGCAAAACAAATGTTGAATTAAAATGTGAATGGAATAAATGCAAACAAATATTGAATCATTATGTGAATGGAATAAATGCAAACAATTATTGAATTAAAATGTGAATGGTATAAATGCAAACAAATATTGAATTATAATGGGAAGGGAATAAATGCAAAAAATGTTGAATCATTATGTTTATGGAAAATAAGATTTCTTACCCTTGTTTACTTTGTTGTTTGTGGCCTTTACCTTCTTTGGTATTTTTACCTTGGTAGCCATCTTGCTACGGGTTTGCCAGTTACAGTTCAAAGACCGTCCCTTACTACAAAAGAAATTAAATTTCAAGGTCCAAATTCAACCATTTATATAATGATAACGTATCAATTTAATCAGGAAAAGTAATTTTCCTTGTACTCCTTGAAAAAGCAAAACAATTCAAATTAATATTATGCATAAAGCAATGCTCTCCCACAGAAGGACTAGAAAGTGGTTTACCTCATTGGCGTGTTTTCTAAAACTTTTTTTCCGCGGTTTAACTTTCTGCCATTTATGCATGAACACTACTAACCACAAGTTTCCGAGTCTGGCAAAGGCACCAGGGTTCCGTATACATCTGTATATCATATACGCAAGCAATGCAGTCATGATAGCCAGCAGGATCATGGTCGGTATGAACCAACCGAGATTTTCTGGATCGTCTAGGAAATTAGAAATACTCCCACTGTCACCAAATGTGGGAAACGCTAACGACGAGGCTGTGGCCGCCGTTGTGGTTGTTGTGACGACGGTGGCGGCTGTGGTGGTTACAGGGTCGGTAAGAATGACGTTGACGGTGGCGGTATCTTTAAGGCCGTTCTTGTTAGTTGCGGTCAAGGTCATGGAAAATGAATCACCTACATTGTGGGCCGTCGTGCTAAAGTTGACATTGTTGTAGACACTGAAGTAACATAAACAATATACTACATTATTTTTAAACTAAATAATATTACGTCGCTGTAACGGTAGTTTACGTGAGCGGTTGCATGACTTAAGGATCCCCGTGTAGCTACCAAAATCGGTAGCTTTTTGTTGGAAACTGGGGTTTTTTTCAGGTATGACTATAGTTTTGGTCAATCATTTCTGAAAAGAAAACCATACCTAACGGGACATTTATTGGAAAGAATAGGCAGGAAAAAACTATAAACAACATTACAGTGTCCTGAGTGTAAAAACTCAGCATGGCCAGATCGGGAATCGATCTAGAGCGACCTAGTCAACGAAAGAGGCATGGCCTATGAGTACAACACTTATATCTAAACGAAAATTATGGGAAGATAACTTTACATCGAGAAAACAACAGTGCAGTGGGACGGAGATTCTTAGGAAGTACAATATTTTTGTTCTCATGATGTAACAGACAAGATATAAAACTGGAATCCATGGGACATGTTCCGTTACGTCATACAACATATGTTAGATTTCCCAAGCATAATCAGGGCCCACGTTCTTGATACCGTTATAATGCTCAAATTCAAAATTCAGATTCTGTGCTCAACGCTTATTTCTCGTGTCAGAGATTTTTTTAAGGAAATTACATTGTGTTAATGATTTGAAAGTATTTCGACAAGACTTCACGCCGGATATCCTTTCGAATGGTTACATTTGACTTTTTTACCATGTCACGTGATTAAGATGCATTAGAAGAACGGTGCTTGAACACAAAAAGCATAATTAAACGTAAGTCGGTTTCATGAAAATGCAAGCCATGAAGTATGAAATTTACACAGGAAGGAATGTGTTTACAAAAGGTATATTCAATAAACTTGTATGTTATTAAAACTTTCTGATATGGCTTACCAGAAAACTAGACACGGACCCCGAGCAATGTGCACAAATATATGATTAAAAAATGTACTGTCTTTTAAAACAGCAACAGCCAGAGTTACTCAGTATCTCCGAACAGTTGAAGACCATGAATAAAACACAAACAGTACAAAGCTTTCAACTTATTGAAGTTTATTTTAGCCCAAACCCATTTCCCCATCAGTGTTTTTAATATGAATATATTATCAATTATAGACTTTGTCGAGGTTAACATGTGGTTATATGAACCTGAGACTTAGATATTAATTGATACGACGTCGAGGTTAATATCACTTTTCAGGTCCATATAACACATCAATAAAAATCCTGCTTTATGAAATATTAAATCACATGCTTTCATCATTTCCGCCCAGAGAAACACACTGTGTATGACAGACAGCATTATGACGTTACAATTGAAGTGACGTCGTAAAGAGAATATTCATCGGGTGTTTCTAACAATAGTAACACCGAGTTAATATCACAAATTACCGACCTCCACGTGATTATGAGTCAACCATTGAGGATGAAGGTACAATGATGTAATATCTATGATTATGTACCTGCAGCAATCCGTAAATCCAAACAGCCCTGATCCCCCGGTCAATGTGTACGTGGTATCGGTGTGGTCGGTCAGGACGTCGGCATCGGTGGAAGAGAAGGGCCCGAACTGTGACCCCGCTCCAGTGTTGATTGGCAGGAAGTGAGTGTACGTGTCCTGATTCAGCACGGGCGGGTTATCGTTCTCCTCATTGATGATGATGTTTAGGTTTGTTGTGACAGTGTGTCCCGCTGCGTCAGTTGCTGTCACTGAAAAACAAAAAAAAGCATGGTGTATTCAGAGTATGAGTTTATAATAGTAAGGAAATAGTTAAAAATGATATGTGCGTTCACTGGGGCTCCAATTCACGATTCCAGACTTTTTAGTCGGACCGCTAAACTAAAGGGAAATTCACAGTCTTATCGAGGCGAGTAAAGGCAACTTTGACGCTTTGTACATTGCATATCCTTTATATTACCCCCCTTTCTCACAGTCTGCGTTCAAAGGTTCTTTTTTTCCCGCCAAGGGTTCGCCCCTTGAACAGAGAGGGTCAACCGCATCAGTTTTTGATACCTACCGTTAGTATATATGTTCTTAGATATTTTCGTTATATGTTAACTTACATCTCCCCAACGCAGTAAAGAAAAAAAAACTGTCAAAATATAGTCTGACACGACAATTATTTATTTGGATTTTCAAATAACACCCCTACGGAATGAACGTAAGAATTCACACAGGTAATTGCACCTATAAAGTTTGGTTATAGTTAAAATATGCCAAAAATGAATAGATCTGCAGCATAGAGTTTTGTGATGGATATTCGTAAGAAAGACTATATCTTTCTCAGGATTTAATGAATTCATGTAAGAAGATGATTAAAATCACTGCAACAGTACTCACCAACGCACGCCACGGTGTCTGTCGTCTGTTGTGTAGCGTCGAGATCGTATTCATCGGTCTTGGTGACGCGGCCCGTGGTGGGGTCCATAGCAAACAACACCGTTGTGGTCCCACAGTCCATGGTAAGCGTCTGTGTGTCACGTGTGTCGTCAACGTCTATCACAGAATTGGCCAATGTGGGATTGAGGTCCGGGAAAGTCGTGGTAGTCTTCAACGACATTTTATCAAAATAATTCATTATGTGACTGATTCCCGTATTGATATACTATGGGCCCGTATTAATAAAACCGTACTCGTGGACAAGCACGAATTCTGTTCTCCAACCAATTTTTTTAGAAACTCGCATAAACCATGTGACACAGTCAAAAAATCAGTTTTAGACATTTAAGAAGGTACTCGGCTTTAAATATCTCCATATATTTTTGCTAGTCACTGACAAAATGTGAGTTGTCATTAATTTTACCGAAGCAAAAAATTGGACATAAGCTTGAATTTAAGTACGGGGCCTGGTTGAGTGAGAACTGAATGACTGACAGCAACAAAACTTTTACCGCTTACGGAACTATAGTTTACCTCTACTCCTGTAATTTGATATGTAGTCTGTGAAAAACCCGTCTGTGGTTCGTTAACGTCCGTGACAGCTAAAGTGAAGTATTTGGTGACCGAATCTTCTCGCCCATCGTTCGCTGTCACGGCGACATTAAATGATGTAGTTCCTTTAGCCAGCAACTCCTCGTAGTCGATCACCTGCGATGGTCTGATGACACCAGCTGTCCATAGTTTCATGAATAAATTAAAAACATGTTCACATGATGTAAGATATTTTCAAGCTATTTACATATTTTGTTTTACATGTACATGTAAAATAATAAGATAACGTTTAACAATTACTTATATGCTAGTACATGGATGGATGGATGAGTGGATGGATGGATGGATGAGTGGATGGATGAGTGGATGTATGGATGTATGGATGAGTGGATGGATGAGTAGATGGATGGATGGATGGATGAGTAGATGGATGGATGAGTGGATGGATGGATGGATGGATGGATGGATGGATGGATGAGTGGATGGATGGATGAGTGGATGGATGCATGAGTGGATGGATGGATGAGTAGATGGATGGATGGATGGATGAGTAGATGGTTGGAGGGGTGGATGGATGGAGGGATGGATGGATGGGTGGGTAGATGGATGGATGAGTAGTTGGATGGATGAGTGGATGTATGGATGGATGGATGGATTGATGGATGAGTGGATGGGTGAGTGGATGGATGGATAAGTGGATGGATGAGTAGATAGATGGATGGATGGATGTGTGGATGGAGGGATGGATGGATGGGTGGGTAGATGGATGGATGAGCGGATGGATGGATGGATGGACGGATGGATGGATGAGTGGGTGGATGGATGGATGGATGAATAGATGGATGGATGAGTAGATGGCTGGATGGGTGGATGAGTAGATGGATGGATGGGTGGATGGATGGATGGGTAGATGGATGGATGGATGACTAGATGGATGGATGAGTAGATGGTTGGAGGGGTGGATGGATGGAGGGATGGATGGATGGGTGAGTAGATGGATGGATGGATGACTAGATGGATGGATGAGTAGATAGATGGATGGATGGATGTGTAGATGGATGGATGGATGGTTGGATGGATGGTTGGATGGATGGATGGCTGGATGGATGGATGGATGCGTGGATGGATGGATGAGGGGATGGATGGATGGATGGAAGGATGGATGGATGATTGGATGGATGGATGGATCGATGGATGGATGGATGACTAGATGGATGGATGAGTGGGTGGATGGATGGATGGGTAGATGGATGGATGAGTGGTTGGATGGATGGTTGGATGGATGGATGGCTGGATGGATGGATGGATTGATGGATGGATGGATGATTGGATGGATGGGTGGGTGGATGGATGGATGGGTGGATGGATGGATGAATAGATGGATGGATGAGTGGACGGATGGATGGATGGATGTATGGATGGATGGATGGATTGATGGATGAGTGGATGGATGGATGGATGGATGGATGGATGATTGGATGGATGGATGGATGGATGGATGGATCTAAAACGTTGCGAACATACGCTAGCCATTCCAGGAGTTGAAAAAGTTTTCAAGCTTAGGAGATATTTAAAGGAGGAAAAGTAAAATCCACAGGTTTGAGAAGAAAAAGTAAACATACTCCCACTTATGATTCTGAAGTAGTTGGAGCCATCTCCGGGTGTGAATACAGCTGTGAACGTATGTGTATCTCCAGGGTTTCCATCTGTGACAGCCGTGTCGAGGATAATCTTGGTGACGGCGGAGTTTTCCGGAATCGTCAGTGACAGTCCAGCTGGTATATTACTGATAACAGGAATGTCGTTTATGTCTGAGGGAAAAAAGGGAAAATAAATCTCTGGACGAGTTTATTTCTGGAGGAGTAGCTTTTCACCTGTTTTAATACTACTTGCCTGAAAATAAAGCTATGGTGAATTTCGTTTTAACTCATTAGGTAGAACTTCTGCCTACAATTTTAGCCAATCGAAGGTCCCGGGTTCTACAGCTAAAAGAAGCATTGAACAAATTGCAACGCTTGGTACTAACAATAAAATGCATTTTGGATGTTTTACTCTATGGACCTGCATAATGACACTTATTTAGAAATAACAAGGATTATTGAGGGGGTTATACGGTTTATACCAAAAAGCTTTGTGCACTTTTGTGCATAAACTGCTTTTTCGGATGTATGCAAAGTCTACACATGTTTTTTCGGTATATACAAACAAAAATTATAATTACCTCTTACAATTTGATTTAAACAGTCAGACAACCTTTTTTAATTCTTGAATATAAATTGATTTCTGAATAGAAACAAAATGATTTTGCATAAAACACAACATTGCACAGTAATTTCATCACCAAACAAAATTCAACCAATCAGAAGTTAGAATTACAAATACCGTGCTAAACATTGCGGTTGACGACGTCATAATTTTTTGCGTTGTCTGTTTTAGGTTATAACTTTAACCTGAGAAAGCCTACCATTTGGGGAATAGCCAAAAAGTAAATTCTATACTAGTGTTACCTACTTGTGAGCGTGACACTTAAAGTCTCGGGTCCTACTAGCGACCATTTATCATTAATCCACACGTTGAGGTCATAGGCAGCAATCTTGTGTGTGTTCAAGTTTTCTGTTGCCAAAATCTGTCCCGCCGCTGGCGCACAAACAAAAATAAGTGTTATGTTAATGTGTTGATATTGAAATTCACAGTTTCGGGCAAACGTTTTGAAATAACGTGATAACCCTTAGTTATGAGATAGTAGAATCTTATCGTTTTCTCCCGAAATTTGCAGGTTCATTGCTTTTTTTGATGAGAAATATGTATTTATCTATCTAGGGTAGTACACCTGATACACACTGTAATTCTAAAAACGTCACTACCGCGTCATCAATACATGTAGCACAATCAGGATCTGGTCATCAAATTTGTCACATTTTTATATATGCGTCGTCGTTGATGGCGCAGTGCGTTAAATCTGCCATTAAAATTAATTAATAACTCCTTGGGCAGACATAAACATCTCAACTCTCGTGAGACTTTGTGCTACACTTTAAAATCTTACCTTTTTGTTATAATTTCTGTGTCTTACTTACTGTTGACTTGGAACGGACAGTTGGCAGGGAAACACGTCATGTTGTAAAATAGAATTGTGGAATCAGTGTCCACTCCGTTGATTGAGAATATCTGTGTTCCTGTCGTGGTGGTCAGAGTGTCCACGTCTACTGTATCTACAGCAAGGAAGTAATGGTATTTGTCACATTACTGACCAATTGAACTATGCCATACGGCCATGTCATAAATATGGTATTACACACAGGTAATACAAATCTTCAGTTGCTGTAATTGGTCAAAACCATGAGAACATATTCCTACGCCACTACAGGTACTACTTTTATTTACTGTACCATATGGTATTCCGTCTTTGCGTATTGCAGAGTTATCTTCTCTTGTGAGCAGGGATTGATTGTTACGTCATTGGTTTGTGTGAGAAGATTACGTCGTTTTCTCAAAAATTGATGACGTTACTCTCACAAACAAATGACGTAACAATCAATACCTGCTCTCAAGAGCAGATAATTCTGCAATACGCAAAGACGGAATATTTACTGTTATTTTAAATCCATATCAAATGTGTATTTTGTCATTATTATTTGCATTGCATTTAAAACTTTCATAATTGAAAAAAATCTGGAACGACTTTGCAATACGCGGAGCAACAACACTATGATCGGAGTGCTTGGGTTTGACCTATATATAGAGTCAGCTGATAACACGTAATTGTGTTTAAATTTCAAAATATCAACGATATGTGATAAATGAAATATACAATATCCATATCATGGTGAATTTATTAAATGAGTTCAGTGATTTAATATGACATGACCCTGTAGGCGGTCATCAATGAACATCATTTAATAAAAACATTCTAACCTAATAATTAACCGTAACCTTTGTGAATAATATTTCATTATAATATTTCTAAATTTTATAGAATATTGATAGGCAATATTTACCAACAATCAATTTTATATCATTGAATAGTGAAAAAAGGAACTTTATGATAATTCCTTATCTCTTCGAATTGCCAATCATTGCCAATCAAGCATGATCCATGTTTTTATCTGTATTTTCCAAATAGCATATTGCTTTATATGAATAAAGCACATGACTATTCACTGATAAATTATAATTATATTGGTTTGTCGGGTGGCGCATTGGATAGTGCACGCCCCTTTTTGCAACACGACATAGGTTCGATTCCTCGATCGGACATTAACAGGTTTTATTATATGCATGAACATTTCTCGCAATCACATTGGTCGGATCCTATACACGTGACCAGTCCTCAAAAAATCATGTAGACTTGTTATCCGGTGAATATCGATTTCTAAATAAAGCCTGTATGGAAATTCCCCGGAACCTGTCGTAGCGCATGCGCAGTTAGACTGGAACGCGATCTGTCAGACGACATTAAAAAGCTGCTGGCGAACGTTTCTCCTCCGTTAGGAAAATTACCAAAACTATTCGAGGATAAAGATGCTGTTAACGTAAAAAAGGCCATTGAACACGCAGTGCATGTCCTCCATGCTTATCTTAAGGAAAAGAATCTAGACGATGCCTTCGAAAGCTACAATGCTGAACTGTTGTATTCAAACCTGGCTAAATTTTACACAGATGCTCGCGTACAAAAATCAGAACCTTTAGTTTTGTTTCGTTTTATTTTATTGTTGAAGCATATAATAAAACAGTTATGGGCTTTTGTGCTGGTAAATATGATGTGATATGAACCTGAAAGAGTGATATTAACCTCGGCTTCGCCTCAGTTAATATCACTCTATCAGGTTCATATCACATCATATTCACCAGCACAAAAGTCCATAATTGTATAATGTATCACCTTCCTGCCGACGTGTTTTCTACAGGTGCTCCGGTTTCCTCCCACAGTCACGGCCCCGATGCGCTTCCATCCGGACATTTTAGAGTGATTAGTATAAGCTGATAAGTATTGTTTCTTTATGGTCTGTGGCCCTGACATGTTCGTAGAGAAAGGGCAATTGTTTTCATCGGTACATCGTCTTTTTTCCAAAAGACACGAAAAGACATCTAAGCAGTCACGTATAGCAGGCATCAACATAAATACTCACTTGGGAGATTGTCCATTGATGGTGAAGCATTTTCTGTGATGCTGACCACAATGTCCCTGGTAGAGGACATGCCAAGGTTGTCCGTGCACGTGATGGTCAGTGTATATTGATTTTGAGTATCGTATTTTAGGTTTGGTTCACCGTTCAGGAATAAGGCATATGCTAAAAAACAAGCATTAAAAGTATGATGAATAGTTTCTACAGCATTGTGCTTAATTTGGTGCTATATAAGGTTCGAGGTAAGCAATGGGTGGCAAGAAAACTGCTCATAATTTGTTTTGAGTCTGATATACTCCGGTATAACCATTTTATCATGTCTAGGGAATTAAGGAAACACAACACAATATAGCACATTATTAAACCATAAATCCTTCCATCAATGCACTGTACCCTATTTGTCACATGTCATTAAATCCGTGTATTCATCTTTATTCCTCATTGGCATGTGTTTATGTACAGATGAATGCAAGATTCACTTCTTCAGCAACAATAGAAAGCAAACAAACTCATAAGTGATTTGGAGTAAGATTTATTCTCGTCTCGTTCAACCAGACGCTTTATCACTTGTAATATCTGTTCGGTGTAGCATGCGCAGACAACAAGAGTCTGGTTGAACGAGATTGATTTATTCCGGTTTAATATTTTTGGAGCATGTCATTTTAAGTAAAGTCAAATACAATATAGCACACCATTAACACATACATCCCTCTTCTTTGTTACTTGTCATTCAATCCATTGTTCGTCTTTATTCTCTTTTGTACTGTGTTAATGCACATATGAATGCTAGCTTCATCACTGCATCATCTGTCCTACCGTTTACCGGAACATTTTCGCTCAGTCAAACTTTTGCTATTCCTCTATGAAATCAATTTTCTCCAAGGGTTAATTTCGCCCTTNCATCACTGCATATTAAATAAAAAAAACAATACCTGTATTAAACTTTTACCCAATAATGTGTAATACAATATTGAATCATTCAGTAATGAGTAAATAAATATTGACTCAGTCAGTAATGAGTGATAATATATTTACTCAATCAGCAATGAGTAACAATAAATTGATAATTCAGTAACGAATAATATTATATTGACTCATTCAAATATAAGGTATAATACATTGACTCATTAGCAAAGGGGAAAATATATTCAGATTCATTCAGCAATGATTTATAATAATATTGACTCATTTAGTAATGATTTTTCGTATATTGACTCATTCAGTAATGAGTTATAATATATTGACTCATTCAGTAATGAGTAAAATATATTGACTCATTTCGTAATGAGTAATAATTTATTGACTCATTCAGTAATGAGTAATAATACATTGACTCATTCAGTAATGAGTAAAATATATTGACTCATTCAATAATGAGTTATAAAGCATTGACTCATTCAGTATTGAGTTATGATATATTGACTCATTCAGTAATAAGTAATAATATATTGACTCATTTAGTTATGAGTAAAAATATATTGACTCTTTCAGTAAGGAGTAAAAATATATGGAGTCATTCAGTAATGAGTAATAATACATTGATTCATTCAGTAATAGGTGATAATATATTGACTCATACAGTAATGAGTAATGGTATATTGACTCATTCAGTAATGAGTAATAATATATTGAATCATTCAGTAATGAGTAAAAGTTTATTGACTCATTCAGTAACGAGTAATAATACATTGATTCATTCAGTTATAAGTGATAATATTTTGACTCATTCAGTAATAAGTAATAATATATTGACTCATTCAGTAATGAGTAAAAATATATTGACTCATTCAGTAGTGATTTATGATATATTGACTCATTCAGTAATAAGTGATAATATATTGACTCATTCAGTGGTGAGTTAAGATATATTGACTCGATATGAATGAGTAACAATTAGACTACAACGTATTGACTTGATCTGTGATAGCCAACAGTACATCGGATAAAAACCTCAAACCACTGACTTATAAAGCACAATCCGAGAGTTAAAAAAATAAGCTAAGTAAAAATATGAATCGGTCTTATTTTATATGATTGAGATGAATAGAGTGATACAGGGATCTGATTTAATGCGTTGACATTTTCATATTAAAGGCATGTATAAGCTTTCTCGAGTAGCTTACGAAAGATTTACATTTTCCGTGGCAAAAAAAGGAATGCATTTGAAAAAGGTCACAAACTAATATATCGGCATCACTTACCTGTGCTAAAAGTGTAGGTATTCTCGCCCACAAGCTCGTAATTCGCTCCATTTGGCCGCCATATTTGGAACTTGATTGTGCCCAAAGCACCGATAACAACTTGCCATTTGTCAATAACTCCACAACAGTCAAACGTATAGCTGCTAGCTAGATACCCGATTCCTGCAATTATACACACTCTCGTTTACTAAACATGTGATCATAGTACATGTATATTAATTACAAAGTCAATCGCCAGGCTAGTTGTTTACATTTATTTTGATTTAATGAAAGTAAACCAGTATCTGAAAGTCAATAGCATCCTAACTTGAAAATTCCTTAAATGTTGTGGTTGCAGTATGATTAATTATGTAACGAGGGATTCAAAATGGTGAATCATATATCTGAGATGTTAATAGAAATACATATTCTGTACAGCTTGTTTGCATTCATCTATGTTCGCCATAACACATTTATCATTCATAACAGTTCATCGCTATTCTTATTTGTTTTCGATGTAAGACGACAGTTGATTGGTAAATCAAAATAATTCGCAATATACCGTCTGCAAATTTCTCATTTACATATGAAACTGGCGATAGTTAATAACGTTAATGACCTCGACTGAACCTGACACGTCATGAAATTGATTATTGATTGGTGGTGGGTGGAGGAAAGCCGGAGTTCCTGAAGAAAAACTACCGACCTACGGTCAGTACATGGCGACTGGCCCACGTAGGCCTAAGACCCGCGTCCCAGTGATGGAGTGCTAGTGATATCAGAATATCAGACGCCTTGACCACTTGGCCACCGCGGCCCCCTTCAACCTTAAAATCATTGCCTTAATTTACAATGGAATTAAGCATTGTAATGATTGCATTTGTTTTCTCAGATTATATCAGTTTTTTAACTCTCTGGCATTCCAGAAAGACAACTTGGAATCAATACTTATATCATTCACAGCAAAGATTTCCAGAGAAAGTGCTTTTTCTTCGTAACGTTATAAAGAAAATATAACTTTTAAGACATTTGGGGGGAAAAAATCAATGTAGGCAATAACATTTTGTATTTTCCATCGCATCTTCACAATTTTAGATTTATTTTAGTTTGAAAGGACAAAGTTGAATAAATTTAAATGAAAATTTCAAAATTGATGTCGAAACTTTACATTATCTGTGCATCAATTGTAAGCATATAACCTTTACATGGTAGGCATTTCAATACTTATATATCTGGGCCATCCTAAAAACATTCCTTAATGTGTTTTAGAATAAGAAACGAGGAGCAAGTCGTCGTGATATACTTTATAAAACATTATTTTGTCTGTTGGCTTATCATTCATGTCATTCATTATGTTTGAATCCGAAACGAAAAATTTGAAAATATTTATCAAATGCGGTGGTAGAGATGATCGTGAATCAAATATTTTTTTTCCTGGCTTTTCGTATGGTTTGATATTAAACAATTACTGACCACTTTCGATGAACTTATCAAAGAGCGTTCGATGTGCCTTATCCATTTTGGTAACGCTTATGACTGCCGCTAGGGGACGTGGTTAAGCAAACATGACACAATATGCCAACACTCAGGCGGTACTTTAATTTATTCGCGTCGTTAGCATACTTGAAAACTATATTTACCACATTTTGTGTCCCAACCAAACATGTCCTTTCCTTATTTAACAGTGTAGTAGACTGTATATCATATATATTCACGAAACATTACAAAGAGGCAGCCATGGACATAAATATGAATCAAACACGATATCGTTCCTTCGTATCATCCTTAATTAGAACAATTATGATACTTTTAAAGTACAACTTAATGTATTGCTTAATCTGTCATATTCCATTGTACCAATGTAGTTACCTCTATGAAAAACTCACAACAATTTGTTTTCGAGGAATTTTTTCATAAACCTTGAATAAAAAAAAAACAATGTTTTGCTTAAACTTAAACGTTTATCTGCTGATAATATAGAAACCATTTCTTATGATATATTACGAGCATATGTACTATATGTATATTTATTGCAGCCTCTCTCAGACTATCAAATTAATTATGTATTAATATCCCCCCTTCCCTACACACAAACACAATTTTATTGCACCAAACATGTGATATTGAAATTGATTTAAGTGTTTATAAACTCTATTAGGGTGGCTATTTACATAGTTAAAAGTGTCTTTTCCAGAAGAGTGGAACATTAATATACGTTACTGTTTATATCATTACGTACCAGTGGCAGTAGTGTCAAGGTTGTCTTGGAAACCGCCGGGCGCCGCATTCCCAACAGTCTTTGTGCCACAGGACTGTGAGGCCACTGAATTTACAAGATTATGTAAAAGTGGATATTTTCGCAGTGTGAAAATATCGCGAAAATACCCATAGTCGAATATTTATTGATATGGATAAGAAATAATATATAGGATCTTACTTGAGTTTCCATTTCATATTAGATTTATGAAACGAGTCTAAGAATTTTTCAATTTAGCGAACCTCTGGCGAGCTAAAATGAAAACTTCGTGACGAGTTTTATAAATTTTGTATAAAATGAAAACGAGTGTAGGATCCTTTTTATCACATAACCAAGATTTGTGGCATTTATTCGTGCAAAACGACAATTTTCATGCAACTTTGAAATGTAAAAAGCCGCCATTTTGACTTCAGTGCGTAAGTCTGTGACGTCATGTACTTGTCCCAGTTATGACGTCACAGTTGAAACAATTGAAACTTACAACCAATCACAGGGCGGATAGGTAATATTACATGGCTAAATGCGCAAAAAATATGACACTGGATAACACAGTACATTATGTGATAAATATAGATAATAGATATATATAGAATATCTATATTTAAGAACAATCACAAATTCAAAAACTTCCACACATTGAGATCAGTTTGAAGAATTAAACAACTCGTGCATTTTAACATGTAGAAAACCAACGTATCCTTATATACTTAATAACTGTGACCAATAATCTGAAACACTACGGTTCAGACTTTTTATACCTATTTTGTATGGCAAATAAAGCACCAGTGATCGCATGATATATTCCTTTTATATTCCCTTCTTCACTTTTTTCGTATACCATTTATAATTAAATTGATACAATTAAACGAAAACACCAATTAAAAAAGTCGATGTGCAACTATAGTAAACTGCTGGAAACTTAATCGATTATAAACAACACGACAATACAAAGTCAAAGATACTGTTTTGGCTCCCATAAAATACAGTTTACATTGGGTCCATATTATTATCAGGATAACATTATATTTTTTAATACAGACATTGACTAAACACAAATACACAGTCAATATAACCATAAGGTTATATTCACAATAACGTAGCCGATACAACAAGAAGTTTATGCAGATATTTGTCGAAACACAAACACACAACTGATACACCCATTTTGGCATACAGACGATGCCAAACCGAAATATTAAGTTCATACAATCATTAAGTTGTACATTTATCAATAAGTCATATATACCTAGCTAGTACATATTAAAATAAAAATATAAAATGCATTGATTATTTATTAATAATAAGAAAATAGTTTTCTAGCAAAAAATAAAAGTATATTTATATACGATCTTTTGGACAACAAAATGTTTTCATTTAATAATATTCCTTCGGGGACCCCACAGTTGGGTTCCCCTTGTGGGCCCCCTGCTTCAGAAAGAAAGGGGGGATTCCCATTGGTTGAAAGGTCAAAAGCGAAAGGGCCCCCTGACTCCTTGCACGCTGACCCCAATCATTAACCCCACAGCCTTTAGATCCTCGGGTCACCCTAATGAGTGTCCTCCGAGTAATGAGTGTCCTCGGAGGATTTTGCGCGCCCGCGAGTTCGTTATAAGATTTATTTCACTTATTTCTTCTGATTCCTAATTATTGTTCATATATCTAAGTGTGTGCAAAATTTAAGTTCGATCGTAACAGTACAAAGTACCGAAATATGTCGATAAAAATGCATATTTGGGAAGAATGAGTGTCCTCGGAGGTTTTTGCGCGCCCGCGAGTTCGTTATTAGATTTTTTTCATTTTTTTCTGATTCTTAACTATTGTTCACTTACCTAGGTGTGTGCAAAATATCTGGTTGATCATAACAGTAGAAAGTACCGAAATACGTCAATAAATACTATTTTCAAGAGGGTGGATTGAGTGTCCACGGAGGAATGAGTGTCCACGGAGGTTTTCGCGCGCCGGAGAATTCGTTAATCAATATTTTTAGCTAAGGCGTAAGCCGCCAGCTATTGGTATTACTTTAGTTAAGGAGCTCAAGATATTCATAAATGTCGATTTCACACAGACGGCCTCTAGCGGTCAGCACTGGTACTAAATTGAATCATATACCGGACCTACTGTCTTTATTATGCGTAACTTTGGACTCAAATGCACTTGAATGGCTTGTAAATATCATTCCTTTCCTTTGTAGAACATATGATCTTATCACAACGTCGTATTCTTATTGAAAATGCACCCTGTTTATCTCAATCGGGAACTGCTACTTGACTGTAGGTCATGCATGCTACACGCAACTTCCGGTAAAAATACTTCAGTTAATGAGCTCAGATAT